TTTTTTTTTTTTTTTTTTTTTTTTTTTTTTTTTTTTTTTTTTTTTTTTTTTTTTTTTTTTTTTTTTTTTTTTTTTTTTTTTTTTTTTTTTTTTTTTTTTTTTTTTTTTTTTTTTTTTTTTTTTTTTTATTTTTTTTTTTTTTTTTTTTTTTTTTTTTTTTTTTTTTTTTTTTTTGTTTTGTTTTTTTTTTTTTTTTTTTTTTTTTTTTTTTTTTTGTTTACTGTCATTTCCTTCGTTCATTTTAGCTCCATGATGTAACATAATCCACGAACCCACTTCCAAATGCAGAATGTATAAGAATATTAGCACTACTCTTGCCGTCAAGTTTGGACGGTATGCACACCGTATGTACAAGAAAACAAATTTATCGAATTGCAGATAAATTGTAGAAGACGCCAAAAGACAAAGGAAATAATAAGAACTATGGCAACGCTATCCACCCGGGGAAACGTCGACTCCAAAGCACTGGTGTGTTTAAAAATAAATTATCAAAAAAAAAAAAAAAAAAAAGCCTGAAAGAGTAGAGAAAATAAACTAAAAGAGTAGAGAAAATAAACTAGGAAATATTAGACTCGTAGGGCTCTCCTCCATCAGAGTCGTCGTCACGCAAGCCCGCCGTTCTAACACACGTGCGTCTAGAAATATTAGAACTAAAATAAATGGGCAGAAATAGGGAAAGGACGGAATGAATGGCAAGCGACGGATCTAACGTGGATAATCGTAAAGAAAAGGTATCGTTGATGGCGTTTGGGAAGGCGAGAAGTAGGAAGCAAGCGCAGCAGTTTGAAAGATACTCAACTCGCTAGAACCGGAAATATTTGGAGCATGGTAGAGTTGTTTATATGTTCGGAAATCAGGGAGGAGCGATTCATTTCACCACCAATGCACCAAAGACATCATCTTCAGGGTTAGACGTTCCGTTACTCCCTATAATGCCAGGCCTCTTTTTTTTACCTCTCTTCTTTGTCACGACGACTTCTCCCCAATGTTTTGGCATAGTACTGATATCGGTAATCTGTATTGATCCGGCATCGCGCCACGCTACATACTTCAACCCTCCAATTTCTCCGGGAATAGGCGAGATAGATCGGTTGATTCTTTCTCGTACGGGCTGAATGGGAGACATGGTATTTTGTGTTTTGGAGGGCGAGGCCGACATCGGTGTACTTGACCGTTCGTTGCTGGGGACTCGGGAGGACGAAGCTGTTGCACTCGTGGCGGTGCTACGGGGAGGAGGGGCAAGGGTTTGCGAATGATGTGCCCAGATATCAATGACCGAACTAAAGTTCCAAATTAGTTTTGAGACAAGCAACGACTTTGGAAAGGAACATCGTACTCCGATGCGCGTTGACATATGGTATCTAAGGCATCTCTCTCACGTTTTAGGTCCTCCGGATCCGGGCCCTGCGGCTGGGTATTGGAGGTGCCGTAGTTGTACCCTGATTGATATGCTTCATCGTCCAATAGCTGTGCAGATTCAGACTAGATTGTAGGGCCCGGTTAGTAGGGTAGAACCAGACACTCCGCCACTACAGGAAGCAAAAATGGGGGCGTGAACACACGTCATGACTCTCCGGCCTTGAGACACCCAAGCAGGATGCGCAAATGCCCATCGAAGGCGGTTTGAAAAGTAATGGGCCAAATAGAGGGGCTGTATAAATAGTTCGAAGGCGAGAATAAGAGGGAGTCGATTATGAAAAGAAAGAGGTTTGAGAGATTGTTGATCAAGGAAATACCCGGTGGCGGGGGTTAAAGAGGCAGCGAGCCCGAATGATCACCCATGGAGATGCCCCAGGCGAGACCATCCGATCGCTTTTGCAAATCGAGAACGAACAATCGCAGATCGACCAGCCGTGGGGTGACGCTGGTGAGAGACACGGGAGGCTGGAAAGGTATCATTAGGGAGATTGAATTGTCATCGCAAGCCAGGGGCGGGGTGGCCAATCACAGGCCTGCAATCCTCTGCCAGGGTTCCTCATTTTGGTGTCAACAACCAGAATGAAATCATCGATTATCAAGAAACCAACTCTCACTCTCACATGACGCCCATCGCTCAGGTTCGATATGTTTGATCTTCCGAATGCAAAACGGTATGTCCAGTCTAGGTCCATCCCCAGCAACAGCTGGCCCAGATACACGCCCACCTGTCTAACGACACCCTCACAGCGTTTGCCGGGCAGACCTCGAATCCCTCCGTTCATCGCGCTCTCCATCTCCGATCACAATAGAAACAGCGAAATACGCCGCGAATGCCCTAAAAAATGTCTATGCGTCACTGGACATCCTACACCCAGAGAGTAACAGCGCAGTGCCTGCGCCGTTGAATAGAGACGATGAGGAAGAACAGGAATTTGAATTCAGGCTTTTCCGCTCGAAGACCTCAGACGAACAGTCAAGTAAAATAGATACGGGAGGTGACGGTGTCGAGCAAGTCACCAAGAGACGCCCGGCTCTACAGAAATTGAAAATCAGGCTTCGTTCGCCCTCTCCCGCCGCCGCGGGGGAAGGAGGATTTGTCGTCCCTTTTAGGGGCTGGGATTACTATTTCTCCAACCCTGAGGCGATTTTACATACATTTCCTAGCAGCAATAAACAACCAGTACATAGTGTACCGGGTTGTAAATCAAAGGACCTGCAAGACTCGACGATCAAACGGCAATTCCTGGAGGCTGCCGTGACTTCGGAAGAAGTCCTTGCGGCGGCTAAATCTACTACTTGGGTACTCTCTCCGCTCTTTTACTATTTACCGTAGGTGGTTAACTCTCTAGTAGCCTGGATGCAATCTTCCATGGCGCGTGATACACCTTCCTGCTCGCAGTTCCGCTGCCGTCCTTCCTGTGTCTGGATGTTGTGATCCAATAGTAGCCCTAGGTTCGCTAGGAAAAACTAAGAAGAAAAAGCCAGGCAAGAAAAGACGAATAGTTCTTCGCAAACGTGTCGTCGCTAAAGTCGCGGCTGAAGTGGCTGATAAAGAGAAGAGAACGAGACGCAACCGAGAGAAGAAGATCAAACGCAGGCAAAAAGAGCGGGAGAAAAAGGCGGCCCTACAAATATCTATCAATGGTAATGCTTCTAGTGAAGCCGTGGATGACGAGCCATGATACCAGCGCATATCGATCCAAATGAAAAAATCTTAGCATAATGCAATATCTACATACATGCATGCTATTACCTAGGCTAACAACAAGTAGTCGAGGGAAGTTGCAATAAGCATGGCCATTTCCTCCTCTAAATTCCATGGGTCATCTGTGGAACACTGAACCCATTCTCCCATTCCCAAGACCTAATGGCTACCATAGCTAACAATAACAAAAAGGCAAAAAGGCCCTGAGAGCTTGGTGCAGCGGGCAGTGCAACGCAAATATGAGAGGGAAGTATGCAATTCGCAACTCGAAATAAAGAAAGCAAACAGTCAGAGAAAATATACATTTTCAAAAAGGGTATCGGGAAGAAAATCAGGAGCATGACCTTGAGGGTTTCGCTTGCTAGAGTGCTATAGCCAAGTTCCACATTCTATCTCTTATTTGGGAGCAGCAGTTTCTGCTGGAGCTTTATTCTCGGGCACAGCAGCAGGCTGTGCGGTCTCCTCTACCACGGGAGCGGGTGCTGCTGGTTCTGTGATCACAGGTGCTTCTGCAGGCTTTGCATCGGGAGCCGGCGTGGGCTCTGCTGGTGCTGATGGGACATCAGCTGGAGCAGCTTATGGAGATTATTAGCCGAGCGTTCACAGTGGTGGATATCGCAGTGCATATTACATACGCTGAGGAGGAGCAACAACCGGTGCAGCAGCCGGCGTCGGCTCTGGGGCTTTCGCTACTGCGGGTTCTGTAGGCACTTCAGTTGTTGCGGGTTGCGCAGGGGGCTGGGTTGCCGGAGCAGGCTCAGAAGCCACAGCTGGAGTTGCCTCTGGAGCAGCAGCAGGTTGTGGAGCAGGACTAGCTCCCTCCGCGGGTGCAGGAGTTGTGGTGGGAGGGACTGGTGCTACGGGGGTGGTTTCTGGTGCAGCATGAGGAGGAGCCGTAGCTGAGGGCTCAGTCGCTGGCTGTGTGGTGTTTGTCCCGGCTGGAGCATTCTCAGCGGGTTGCGCGGGTGCCGCATCTTGTCCAGTATTCTTCTTCTTGCGTGCGAAGAATTTCTTGATGCCCTTTTTGAGCTGATCAAGCGCATCAGTGGCTGTGTAAATATTAGCAGAACACACTCGAGCTATCAAGCTATATAACGAACTATAGGGTGGGTTGTGAGGGCACTTACGGACACCTGGCATCTTGGATGAATTGGTGAGAAGTCGTTGCTGGAGTAAATAGGGGGTAGAGCAGACTGGGGGGGATAAAGTTTCAACCGGGATGGTGGCGGGTATGCAAACGGCGAAGCTGAATACGATGCAACGCTTGACAGACAGGCCGGATGTGGGCGCCAGGCACAGAACGGGAGATGCTGGGAGTTGTTGACGTTGTTGATTTCGCGCGGCGACACGCTGAAACCCAAGACGGCAGTTGCGGCTGACCGTGCACGGACCACCGCGAGAGAGTTGTGGGGAAAGCGCGCTAGGCCGCGCCGGGAGATCACGTGGAAGGGAGGAACCTTAACCCGGTCCGACTCAACGCCGACAAACGCGTTATGCATACAGCAGTTATTGATGAATTCAACAGCAACATAACCGCGCGTGTCTCCTTCCTCTAAATATGGCCACCCCTTGGAATATTCGTGGCTCAGGCTCTCAGTTGTTCTACCAGGACAAAAAGTCCGCCCAGTATGCAGCCTTACTAGAAATCTCCGCCCTCCCTCACCCTGATCGGTCCATCCTTGCCTTTTTTATTAATGAGTCTGTTGATCCGGAGGAGGCTGGCCGTTACTTTTTACGAGTGACATCGTCTGAGAATAAATTGGCCTCTACGAGCAAACTGCAGGAGTTTCTTTCTAAATGGAAGATTTTGACTGAGAAATGTGAGTTTAGCATTGTCGGTTTCGGATGATTGATTGTCTAATGCTGCATCCAGTTCGCCCAGTAGAATCGAATTCACTCTCTGAAGAAACTAAATCCATCATTTATAGTCGCGATGGAGGGCGCTGTTGTGCGACCGACGTGAGTTTCACCTCCACCGCCGACAGGGATGCAACATTCGCCCATGTTGTTTCTCCATTTGTATTTGAAGATCAAGAGCTATCGGATGGCGTATGTATCATCCTCTAGCAATATGGACTCGGCTAATCTTTCTTTAAGACTACTTTGTGTGATATGCTTGAGGTTTTCATAGGCGAAACATCTCTAAAGCAATCCCGTTCACTTCTCTCACCTGTTTCTGCTGATCTGCACTGCAACATCTTTCTATTACACAGAGAAGCCTTCAGTGATTTCAAACAGGGTCAAATTACCTTCAAACCTAGTTACATGGATGAGAACAAGGACCCTGCCCTGCAACAAGCTGTCGGTAACTCTTCTTGTTATCATCAAATTTATCTAATTTATGTCGCAGTACTTTATTCACGATAGAGTGCCTAACCCAAAACGCCCCAACCGACATCACCTAAGTTCGACCAAGACGTTAGAGAATAGAACACCCGAGAAGTCCTTAATAATAAGCAAGGATTTACTTGACTTGAACAGGCGCTTTTCTCACCCAATAGAATGGATTGGCATAGGAAAATTTATAAACACATCGTCTGATGGTCCACGTAGTGAGTTCTCTTACTATAATTGCTATAACTTCATACATGTACCTAACCCCTCCTAGAAGCCCCGCCCTGCTTCGGCTCTACCTATCTAGCTTCACTACTCCGCCCTATTCGAACATTATGGACCTGTCTGCCCTGTTGTTTTCGTGCCTTTGTTTATGATAAGCTTGTATTAATTGGCCTGCGTTTATACGGCCCGACTCTTTCTATGACAGTCTACAGGTTGCCATTCAACCTCTACTTGCGCAGGGGATCCCCTAGGTTTGCAGAAAAATTTGCAACGGAAGCGAATACTCTGTCCATGGTCAAGGAATTTACCAGTATTCCAGCACCTCAAGCTTTAGATGTTTTGCATACCTCCCAATTTTCATATTTACTTATGACTCGAGTCGCAGGCCGTCCTATCGGCCCAAGCATATCATTCATGACTGACGATCAAATAAAGCAAGTTGTTTGCGATTTAAAACAATACGTATCTGAGCTGAGGCAGATACCAAATCCATATAAGGAGTTCAAAATATGCAACTCAAAAGGGGGAGGAATCCTAGATTGGCGTATACCTGACAGCCAGCGAGAGGAACTACGGTTCAAAACAGAAGCGGATTTTAATAAGTATCTTACTGATCCTTTCTGGGATGACATACGTCGTCAAGCTGCTATATCCCATAATATTCAACACGACATTGTTTTTACTCATGGTGATCTGAATATGCGAAACATTCTTGCCGAGAATGGCCGAGTGTCCGGTATTATTGATTGGGAAAATGCTGGATGGTATCCAGAATATTGGGAGTATACCAAAGCACATTACACTGTGCGTAGTGTCATACACTGGCTTGCAGATGTTGTTGACAGAGTTTTTGAAGGCTATCGCGATGAGCTGATTGTGGAAAATATGTTATCGGACCTACTTGGCCCTTTCTAAGCTTGGGAATTCATATGGAAATATAGCACAACGTGTCTGACCCATGTTATTATTCTAATCAATCAACTTTAAAAATTTTTGTTGGAATCAATGGCCACTATTTTTGCTGCCCTCACCCGATACCAAGCCAGGCAGCCATGCTCTCGTTGATTCATTTAGTTACCATCAGGTGACGGATTGACGACTTTGGCGACACCAGACCCCCGCTCAACCACATCTTTGTGAACCTCTGCATCAGATACCAGGCTCTCTTGCAATTCCTGGAGTGGCTTGGTAAGCACAATTACCCCAGCATTTTGTAACGCCACCAAAGCATCTAGCACCCAGGTTCGACAATCAAACGGCTCGCCAGTATTGGGCGAAGGAGTACCGTCAGCGGGCAGTGAGTCGAGAATATCGCGACAGGTTTTCTGACTTTCCTGATTAAGGTGACCCACGTTGTGCGCTAGAACTAAGCTCATCGAAAACGGGACATTCCCGCTGTTCTTCTTTTCGGGTTTCCAGCCGCCCTCTCGATTTGTAGCATGCCAGACTTCTCCGTAGGGAGTAGAGGAGGGGATAAAAATACCCCAGTGGAACCCTGGCAGGGCTCCGCGGCTGCTCAGGATGACGTAGACTGAGTTGTTGTGGTACTGTGCGGCGATAGCTTCTTTGGATGGAAGAGACATGATTGCGTTTTGATTTTTGATAGTATAGCAAGAAGGCAGAGAGATGCAAAGAGAATGTTGGCCTAGAACGCAAGGCTAGCTATGTATGAACATACACAGATTGCGGCTCTGCTCTTATGATGCTCGTTGCCCGCCTTTCACCCCTGTAAGTCTGAACGCGTAACTACGCGCTGGGCCTATGTCAGCGCAAGACGTGGCAGGCGGGGTAACAGAAAATGTCAGTTTTCCGTTGGTAGCCATGCATTTGCATATACGAGCTTCCCTTGTCCTCTTTATTACTTGATCGGGCTACAGGGCGTAGCACGGCTGATAACCCAAAACCAAATGTGCATCGGCGTCTCTACGACTTCTCGAGAAGCGGTTGGTTTCCACTAGATATGTTTACAGTGAGCGCTGAGCCTGTTTCTTTTCTTGCGAGACCAGTCATTCTTTTCGGGACACGCGTGACATGATTCATTATCCCGAGCGAGCATAATGTGGTTGCTTGGTTCTACATATCATGCGGGACAAGCGGGCATTTTTTGACATGGGGTCTCGCTCTTTTCGGGGGCTATTTGGTGAGTGGCCACTCTTCCGAGAAAAAGTAATTTTTGCGTTGGAAATGCCATTTTTCAGCTGCATAAAGCTGTTGGCCACTCCCAATTCTCAAATCTTCGATACTTATCGGAACGGATGTTAATTTCATACGCCGTACATTATCAAGCAGCAATAGCCGGAAAATTGCCTGCTCCAGCTTCTCATCATGGCTTCGAGTCGCTTCTTTATTCTTTCAAATCCCCGTTCAACGTCCAATTTATTCATCCGGATTTTAAATCTCAAGGAGCAGCCCAACGTTGCCAAGCACGAACAGAACGGATATTTCTTCCTCAAGGCGTCTTTTTTGGCCAAAAGTCTGGGTACTTCAGAGAAAAATATTCGGGAATGGACCGAAACGGAGCGATCGGCAATGCGTCAGGCTTACCAGGACGCATTCAATGACATGGAGGAATATCTATGCGAAGCGGAAAATAACGGGAAAATTGCGGTTGTTAAAGAGCACTGCTATATGGTGTTAGACCCCGCATTTCGCTCAAAGTTCCATTTTGGACTGGATGGTGCGACCGAGAATGGATGGACTTTGGATTTGCCGGCGAAATACGGCGGCAACCCAATCAAGTCAGAGGGAAACATCACATTACTCCCTGATGCATTTCTCGACACATGGAATCCAATCATCCTAATCAGACACCCTGCTCTGATGTTCCCGTCATTTTGCAGAGCAATGTCCGACCTCTTCCATATTAACTTTAAGAATTTGGATATTTCTTTGAAAAGGGAGCTGAATCTAGCCCTGAGTCTGACCTGTGCACGTGTCATATATGACTGGTATGCAAAGCGCTTGGGAAAGATTGACGGTGGGAAATATCAGGGAGAATCATGGCCGATAGTTGTGGATTCCGACGATGTGATCAACCGCCCTGAACTTATGATAAAATTGGCTGATATGATCGGACTGGATCGAGATTCTTTGCAATTTACGTGGGAGAAAGAACAGACCGAAAACAATGGACATCCTATCTCTACAGCGAGAGAAATAATGCTATCCACATTGTTGTCCTCGACCGGGATTATCAGCAGCAGGGCTGCTACAGACATAGACATCGATATTGAAGCGAATAAATGGCGAGAGGAATTTGGTGAGGAAGCTGGGAAGTATCTAGAGGATTGTGTGAAAGCCGCAATGCCTGATTATGAGTTTTTGAAGGATAAGAGGCTAAAATAATGCCCGCCATGAGATTGGGATGCCAGAGAAACACTCTTCTCTACGGGGGATGCCATGTAGATATATGGAGCTTTGATTGGAGCTCTAACTGGTCTTAAATGGAACAAAGTTGCCGTGTAGGTCTGGATCACACCCGGTACCTTAGTAGACCCATGGTGCTACTACGGCCCGTTCCCGAACCCAAATAGCGATCAACTTAAAAGTTGGTTCATACTCATTCCATGTTTTCAAAAACAGTCATAAAGCGGCCAAAAAGGCGACGTCTCCATAGCGCAGGCGTTCAAGACATTCTTCCAGTGGACAGAATTGTCTTCACACTGGCAAAATGGCAATTGGGAAATATCAAATTTGGATTCTATGCGTAGCAAGTGAACACAGTGGTGGTGTAACTAGCTTATGCCGCCTTGAATGGATGGCCATTATTGGCCTTAGTATCATTTGTTGGGGTTCCTAAGCACCAGTGAAAATAATTGATTAAAAGAAGAGAATAGTAGCACATTCAACATTGTCACGACATTTATTGGGGTAAGTACTATTGAGAAAAGAGTGCAGGTGTAGAATTTGAGCCTCGATTGACTAAAACTAGCCAGCAGAAACCCTAAGCCCTAATAAGCCCACTCTTAGCACCGTTAACGTCACACCCATCAAGCCAGACACGAACGCTCTCCGCTGCCATTGTGAGTCGTCGTCGTTTTGTGTGGAGATTTGGTGGCCAACATACGGCCCCAGCCGTTCTGAACACACTGCAGCTCCGTACCAGTATCCATTACAACACGCATGCTTCAATCCACTTACCCAATGAAGAATCTAAAGATAAAGCGCTATATAGAAAAAGAGGCGGAGGAGGGGGGGAAGTAGAGGGGATTGTAGTACGTTTTATATGCACCAGCTCAGGCTTTGCTAGCACTTGGGGTTCAAAGCGAGCTCTCTCCAGTCGCTCTTCTCCCTACATAATCTCAAAATGTTCTGATCAAACTCAAGAGTATGATGGAGGGAGCGGACTTTCTGGCTTGTGAAATGCTTTCCTGGATTTATTTGGGGGCGTGTCACCTTGTCCTCCTCAACCACCCAGACTAGGGCTAACCTAAGTCGCATTCCAGATCTTCGCGATAAATTCAAAAGACAAATACCGTTAAATAGTTTAACGTTGTACGGTGCACAATAGCCTCGGATACTCACATTCATTGTATACCAGAGAAATGCAAGCCTATTTCTTTGACCGCGCATTCCTCACTATGTCGGATTTGTATCACCATGTACGGAGTACGGTGATTGCATAACACTGCATGTTATATGTATGTAGCCGAAAAGGAATAGATACATGCCTGGATGCCTCATAACTCTTTGGCAACCAACATAACGTCTACTTGAAAAAGGCTCATAGAATGGAATAGAATTAGATATTAAATTTTGACTAGTTATTCATTCTCTCATCATGATAACAAAGGAAATGACAAAGACACTGGAATACGCTCCAAATCCTAGAACAAACCCCTCAACTATTACAGTTTGCGTCAGGCCATTCTCTCTACATTTTGCACGCAGACAGCGGGGCATCCTCGTAGTTCACTTGAATCCTGCCTAGCTGCTCAGCTTGTCCGTTCGTCAATTCGTTCATCGATCTCTTCGCGATATTGAAGCCGGCATTGGCATGGTCGACCGCCGTTACATGAATTGATTTGCCGTTGTACGTCACTTTGTAGCATTTACCACAGTTGGGGCTGTTCCACTGTGGGACGGTGAAGACGCCTCCAATATGAGGGAAGTTAGGCAGGCTGCCGGCTGTCTTGTAGCCCTTGGTGATCAGGCCGTTGGGTCCGTCAGAGCAAGCAACATGGGAGAGATCGAGGCCGGCATTATCATATCGTGTATCGTAGCTGAGTGTGACGGATGCTGCCACTGCAGCAGCGGAGGTGAGAGGAACGAAAATGGCAGTGGCCATACCGGCAAGGATTGAGGTCTTCATATTGATTTGTTTTGATTGACGCTCTGGATATTGGTGACTGCAAAATAAATATGAGAAAGCTGTGAGGACGGGAATTTGACTGAGGTGGTCTAGTCTGGAGGGAATATTGGGACTTGATGCTATTCAGTTGAGGGCAACTGAGGTTTATATACCCCAAGGACCTGAAAGTATGGCCGGATATGGGCGGTCAGATTTCCGAGAGCACACGATCGCAAGCAGTACAAAGCCATCGTATGGAGCAATATTCTGGAACAGTACATGCAACGCCAGCCAAAGATCAGCTTGAAGTCACCCAAGCCCATGTACTTTTCCAGCTCGTGCAACCGTACGATGGCATGGCAAAACGCATCTTGAAGTTCAAGGCCCTCGTATCCAGTTGGGCGACACCATCTCACCTACCTGAGGGACTTTCCCAAGTGGACGATGTTGGCTACGCCATAGCGGGTATTTCTAAAAATAAAAATAGAAAAGCGTGGAGGGTAACTCTCATCAGGGAAAAAAGGCGAGTTCAGGGAATGTATGTCTCAGATATTCAATCACCTTGATCATCTGCTCCCATTGCCGTGCGGAGGCAGGTTGGCAGATTCTGAGACAAGTGCAATCAGCTTCACGCCTCGGTCCGAGTTGGCCGCTATCCTGGATGTGGGAGAGTTCAGAGAGGAGCGATTTGCAGATCCTTGCGTTCAGGGCAAAAGGAGCGTAAATATTATTGCCACAAAGAACGCATAACCTGCTCCAAATCGCCAGCAATTTGCTTTAGGCAATTCCTGATTTCCGGTCACTACTAACGATGCAGTTAGATGCGACGCTGATCCGTGGTCCTCGTTGACCGGTGCGAAAAGCAGCGATCCGTCTTTGATAGCATGCGCTAGGCGCGTTTTTGCACTTCCAGGATCAAGGCCTGTCCACCGTCTGCGGACATCCGTTGGGCCCCTCATGTCTCAAACCTATGTGCAGCGACGGCGAGACCTAGAAAAACCGCTCCGACGAGAGGCTGCGTTTCCCACGAGAAACCAATCGACGCCGTTCCAGTGACGCAAACTCCGTAGTTAGCGGCTGCTGGGAGAAATGCCAACCAAGGCCCGTGCAGGGAAGTGCGATTCGTAATTCCATCTCACAATGCAATGGTGTAGGAGGTATGCAGTACGGAGTACAAGATGCCGATTCTTGTGATCTGAGGCCTGCACTTGACGGATGTCTCTATCAGCGGAAACAAATTGTCAAAGTGCTAGTGGATGACGACCCCGTCTGGGCTGCGAACGGTGTCAACGGAGAGAGGTTATGTTTAGCAACATGTTTCGGAAGTTCGTGCGAAAGCCACTTCCGCCCGCGTTGCGTTGCTGGAACAGTTTGCGGCAATGGTGACCACGCAACAGGGGATCTCCCTGGGCTGAGGGATCGGCTACCTAATTATTCATTCTCCGACTGTTTTTCCTCCGCCAGTCCTAAAAGACTGCGGATACGAACGGCTTCCCTCTCAACCGTCGGAAGCTCGGGACACACCAGGCGTTGAGGATCAGCAACCCGCTGACTCGCCACTGCAAGACGAGGGAGCCTGCATTGGGACGAACAAAGTTGATTGCAGGCTTTTAATAGGATGTCTGGTGAATCGCCGTCCGAGACAACTCCTCTGCTCCGTGAGAATGCTACAATAGAAGATGGACCGTCACCTGCTGCTGCAGGCGACACAGCAGACCCTGGTGTGATATTGGCTGACGAGCCGGCATTGAAGGAATTGCTAATTATCCAGGGGAGCATTTGGATGGGAGTATTTTTTGCCGCTTTAGGTACGTGAAAAGAATTATCGTGGGCAATTGGGTGTACCATGCTGACAATCCTATTTTCCTCCCCCAGATGCTACAGTCGTTGCTACAATTTCAGCGCCAATATCCTCCTCGTTCAACTCCTTGTCTTTACTATCATGGCTTGCATCGGCCTACCTAATATCCAACGCTGCATGCCAGCCTCTGAGTGGGAAATTGACTGATATTTTCTCCCGTCGAACTGGCCTTGTAGTGTCAAATATACTGTTCGGATTGGGAAATCTCATTTGTGGGCTTGCCAAAGATGAGTGGGTGATGATCCTGGGTCGAGTAGTGGCCGGAATGGGCGGGGGTGGCCTCACTGCCATTGCAACATTCGTTACCTCGGACCTTGTCCCGCTGCGAAGGCGAGGATTGTGGCAGGGTATTGGCAATGTCTGCTATGGCGCCGGCGGTGGCATCGGTGGCATTTTCGGTGGCTGGATTAATGACACTTGGGGTTGGCGATGGGCCTTCCTAGCCCAGATACCTTTCATCGTGGTATCTACGGTGTTAGTCTGGTCGAGGGTGAAAATCCCAGTCAAAGAAACAGACGTCTCCCGCTGGAAAAGAATCGATTTCCTGGGAGCAGGGACTTTGGTTTTGACCTTAGTCCTCTTTTTGTACGGCATCAATACCGGAGGCAACCAGTTACCGTGGACCCACCCGTTGGTTTTGGTGTCGCTGGCTTTATCTGGAGTGCTTCTGGTAGTTTTCATCTACATTGAAGAAAAGGTCGCCTCCGAACCCGTTATCCCAGTTCGGTTACTCATGGACCGAACCGTCCTTTCTGCCTGTTTAACAAATTGGTTTTGCACAATGAGCGTATTTGCTATGCTACTCTACGTGCCACTATATATCCAGATTCAAGGCTACTCTACCACCCAAGCTGGAGCTCGTCTCATTGCTCAGGCAGTTGGGACATCTGTTGGATCTCTAGGACTTGGCTTTTTGATGCGCTCCACTGGTCGATATCTATTCCTAAGCTATGCGTCTGTTGCATCCCTTGTTGTTGGGTTCGCCTTATTCACCACGTTTACCCTTCACACTCCCGCCTGGCCGCCTTTTTTATACTTATTCATTGTTGGCATAGGGTACGGTGGGGTCTTGACGGCATCATTGGTAGCTCTTATTTCGGCCGTGGCACATGTACACCAAGCCGTTGTCACATCAGCGTCCTATGCTTTTCGCAGTACAGGAAGCTCAATTGGTATCACAGTCGCTTCTTCTGTATTCCAAAACATTTTGAAGGCGGAGCTCTGGTCTAGGTTTGGTGACTGGGATGACGCACATCGCTTGATTCCAAAAATCCGGGATAGTCTAGATGAAATCCATCATCTTCCTAAGGGCTGGTTACCCGGTGTTCTGGATGCCTACATGAAAGCTTTAAACGGCGTGTTTGTGACGATCCTGGCTTTAGCACTCCTAGGGGCAATAGTGAGTTTGGGTATAAGAGAGCATAAGCTGCATGCAAACCTTGCTAGGAAGTGAGTTGCTTCCTTCTGTCATATAAGCGAACATAGTGGATTTACAGCTGGAAAGATGATAGACTCTTATTAGAGAAAGCCTGCACACAATGATTAGCTTTGCCCTGTCGTATCTTTATAATTAGTTGACCGAGGTTTGACGCCATGATTCTTGGCGTCATCACTATCGACCCATAGCCCGATTATGTCAGCATTCATCGACATCATCGCCTCCCTGAAGAATTTCACAGTTTGAAGTCAAAGAAGGATTTGTCTTGCTTTCAAATCAATATCTTTTTTAAACCAATTTTTCATTCAAAAACGCAGTGCGATTTGCAGCAGCAGAGTGACCCTCTAGAAGTTGACAGCTGTGCGACGTGGCACCACCAGGATTCTTAGCTGGGTTTCAAAACCGCGAGGCGAAGCAAGCCTTGGGAGTCGCTTTGCGCATTACAGAACACCTCTTTTCCACCTCTCAAGAACCGATCATTCGCTCTAGATTATGGTGCAATAATAGCAGGCTGCCACGATATCCCGGACCGTGCAGGGTGCTGTGAGAACCTAGCAAAGGGAGATCAGGCGTTCGCGCCAGTACAAATCGCGGGCTGGCATTAGGGTGATGGTGATAAATGCACGAGCCTCGTTCGTTTGTGAGATACTTTCCAGTCATGTTTCTCTAAATCTACAAAATTGGGCAGCAAACCGATTTTAAAAGTCATCGAAAACGACACAGCGAAGGAACTATAATAAGGCGGGATTTTCGGGTCATAATTGTTTGGGGGATACTTTTTCAAATATCTTCACATTCGGCTTTGGAGTGCATTGTTTTTATAAAGAGTGGTGAACTATACAAATGAATACAGGAATGGATTGCAATGCAAACGGCTTTAGCCCTGGTAATGAGTCTAGCTTTGGTGGAGAGAACCCTTCGATATTCCAAGGTAGCAGTGAGGTAAATTCTGGACAGATGAGCATCCTGAACTCCCCGAACCGACATCAACATCGTGTTCTTTTATCCACAAGAACCCCTTTCTCCGATACTATCATGCGCTCGCTTCTCCGAGATCCAGATGTCGAACTTCGTTTAATCGCAGACAAAGAAATAAACAGTTCGAATGGCACCCTATCAAACCTCACATACTACCCGGATATTCCCTCTGTTGGAGCAAACGGAAGCACAAGAGACTGGATGAACATCACGGCTGCAAGCCTTGCCGACTGGGCTGACGTTTTTATTGTCGCTCCAATCGAACCGGGAACTCTTGGTGCTATGGTTTCTGGGCTCACCACTACGCTTACTTTGACCATTCTCCGCGGCTGGGATATATCCAAAACGATATTGGTAGTTCCTAAAATGATGATTCTTGAATGGAAATCCCCCCTGACTGCACGGCAACTAAAGTCTATCGGTACATTATGGCCTTGGGTAAAGATACTTCCTCCTGTCTTGTCAAAGTTCGATCCTCCTAATTTTCTCGTGGAACTGCCCTGGGAGGGACGCGAAATGTTCTATGAAGAGATTCGAAAGGGACTTGGTTGGCCATTTGATGTAAACGGGGGTGGGAATCATAGAGCCATCGTGGCAGATGTTTCCAACAACCCCCAGATTTGTGACATTGAGATGAACTCTACAGACTCGTCAGCCACTCTATCGAGGGCCAGTACTCCCCGCAGAAATTCAAATTACCCAGCTCTTCCCCCCGAGCTGTTGAGTATGATATTTGAAGCCCTTGATGATTGGGAGACATCAGTCGCAGTTGGAGTATACACAAGAATTCCAATGCCAGAACATTGGAAGCCTTTCACTCCAAAGACGGAAGCCTCATTGAACTCCTTTTCTCTTGAATACAGCGTCCTTCGAAGGCCGTTACACGAAATAACGCATCTACTTTCATGTACACCTCTTAGGAAGCCAGTTTCCAATCTCACAGCTCATTTAATCCTAAAATTCTCTAGAACAGATATCCTTGATTTCATTTGTAAATCTCGAGCGGATTTATTCTGGTCAACGCCACAACTTTCAAGCCTCCCGCTCCGTGCTTCGGCTATATACGGCAACATAGCTCTGCTAGAGTGGTGGAAAAATTGTCCCGAGTTACCGACGAATGACGACCTTCCTGACGCCGTCGATGGGGCGTCGCGCGCTGGTTTCGTGCATGTCTTGGAGTGGTGGCATAAATCAGGACTATCCTTTCGATATAGCGAACGCTCCCTTGAATCGGCCTCCGCGGAAGGCCAAATCGCGGTGTTGGATTGGTGGAAAAGGGTGTCTGAGTCCTGGAAGGACTATGACACATTGCCACTGAAAATAGGGAAATCAGTGCTTTTAGCGGCACAGTCAGGCAAAACAGCCTCACTTGCTTGGTGGGATAGATCAGGTATCCCATATACACATGGAGAATCCGTCGCACGGATTGCAAGCACGCACGGCCATGTTCCTGTTTTGGAGCTTTGGTACAGCTTGAAAGGGTCAAAGATTATTTTCGACAATCAAGTTCTTGTTGGCGCTACAAAGAACGGCCACGTGGATGTACTCGAATGGTGGCGCCGTAGTGGGCTTCGAGTCGAGTTTAAGACCTGTGATATTGAAGAAGCTCTGGAAGACGCGGTGTCTGGAGCTGAAGAGCGTGTTCGAAGTTGGTGGCAACGCAACGGGCTAAATCTTGGTGTAGGACCAAGTGAATGGATGAAAGTGAAGGTGCTGTGATGGTCTTCTGACAGTTACGCGGCTTGAGTGCTTGGGACATCTTTCAATAGCTACGCTCAAATCCTATGTAGGTACGAGTGTTCCATATTATATAAGATCTAATCTATTCATTACATCTACTCTGCTTTGGAGATGGCGTAAAATCCAGCTCGGTTTAGATTAACATCTATTTAACTTCATTTGGTTTCACCTAGCTTAGAGAGATACCAGGATGTGCTGTTATATAATTGCCCTGTTACTCCAACTCAATCGTCTTAACCTCTCGAATGACTCGAGGGCAGATTCCGTGAGTATCCCCCGTTGAATTAACCAAGAGCTATAATCCGCAATTCACTATTGCTGCATGAAATTGGCCAGCCTTTCCTCCCGAGGCGATTTTCATGCATTTTTATACACTCAAAGAACCGCCCAATGGACTACACTTGCAGCCCCATACATGCATTATCGTTAAACCTCAATGAAGATATTGAGTTCAAAGGCGAAGAATGTGTTGAACTTGGATAGCGAGAAGAAAATATAGATGTAGCATTTATATATGAGGTACCTCGGCCGGTAGAAGAAACGTCCAGGCAAGTTAGTAGCTTCAATGAAGGCGAACAAGGAGTTAACAATACTGCTGATTTCATCCTTCAATCAATATGCCATTTATTTGTATTCGTCCCTGAACACCATCATCACTTCCCGGTCTTCGCCGTCAGGCCCTTGTTCCATCCACGCTCTGAACATTCCAGTGCCGTTGAAGTCGAACGCAATTCTTCCTCCCAACAACCTCGTGTCACTCTTTTCCTCGCTCAGACTATGAGGGAAAAGGTCAGGCCTGGCACAGTAAATCTCAATTCCGATCATTCCGCCAACTCCCTCCCCGGTGTGACCCCATCTATCCCCGGCAGACTGTTGTAATTCCCCGTCCGGCCCGCACATCTCAGTGATAGAATGGGCGAGAGAAACTGCTGGACTGAATCGCGCCCTTGCGACAGCCGTCCTTGCAGCGACTGTGCGAAGAAACGAGTCTCCATTTCCGGTGCCAGACACCGCAGCTGCACGACGACAGCATGGCAAATCGCTTTTCGTATCCCAATCCTCCGCCCAAAACCCTGCTCCCAGCGTTGGTGTATCTCCGATTCTTCCAGGAAGTTTGTTTGTGAGGCCGCCAGTGCTTGTTGCCACCGCGATATTCCCCCATTGATCAAGGCACACAGCGCCCACAGTGCCTTGACTCAAATATAGACCCGCGTCCTGGTCAATCAAGGCTCCCAACCTGGGCTTCTTTAAGCCATCGAGGTGCTCTTTCCATCTTTTCTCCGTCCAAAACCACTCGTCGGGCTTGAATTCCAGGCCCCAATCCCTAGCTAGCTTCTCTACGTATGGGCCACACAGTTGAGAGTGCATGCTTCCTCCATTCTCATGGCCTTTGGCATCGCCTGTCCGAAGGAGCACCTCCTTTGCTAACTGAATGGGGTGCCGAACATTTTTAACCATCATAACCCCAGCACCACGTTTGATCTTGGCAATAGCTATGTCTGGGGGGTGGTGGTCGGGGGTGACAGAGCAAACCATGACGGATGCCTCCATCTCGATGGTGCCAGCAGTAGTGAATACACTACCGCGCCCACAGTTAAATAAAGGATCATCTTCCATTAAACTGACAGCATGCACGGCGGCATCCAGAGCAGAACACCCGAAGCTTTTAGTTCCATTTCCATCGGCTCCATCATGCTCACCATTCAATAGGGAGTATGTTGATCGTAGGTACGTCAGCATGGATGTTCGAAATTTCTGGTAAAGATCTGGCGGCAAGTGTGATCGCTTAATGTTTCCAGCGCCTCCGTGCAGGATCACTGTGGGCTTAAAAGCAAATTTGGGCATGGTATCAAATTGGACGTGAAGTGAAGGGAATGCGCAAGGAAGCTAGCGAGATGATATGGGACAGACAGTGTTGATCTTCAAACGTGGGGATGATACGATGTGATGGTCGGCTTACATACGGACAGGCTAAGTGTGACCTATGGAGCGGTACCGGTAGGCGCGACTAGGCGCCCGGCACGCGACTATATTGAACCACGCTGTGTTCAAAGGGCATTTTTGATGCATGTTAGCATTAGGAGTCTAGGGTAAAGAAGGCCAACGGAAAGGAAGAAACTCCAGTACTTTGTATTCCTGTTTTGCGACCAAATTTTGTGAATAAAAAGAATACGCCAAGAGAAATGAGGCTTTAGGGGGAATCCGTCGAAAGATTAAGGGAAATAGGAAAGAGCATCAAAATCCGTCGTGAAGAGTAAGGAAAATCGTAAGAAATGTCGTCAAGAGATGGGGGTATATACACGGTAAGTTGTACCAATACATTCAATCATAGCCTCTTAAAAAGGAGTTTGAGCTGGGAAGTTGGCTTCTTCTCTTTGTGCTTCTTCCTGCTGCTTTCGCTATCGTGTCTTGAAGACGTTGATCGTCGGGAGGATCTAGACGACCTGGAATGTCGGGAATAGCTAGATGCCGCATCGTGAACAACGGTAGGTTCCCGCAATTCCGTAACACGTCGTGGAAGATGCAGTCCCGACATAGCTGCCGCAGTAGGCGTGATGAATTCCCCATCAACGGACGTACCACAGCTTTCTGCCTCTGAGTCTGCCACACCTCGCCGCCACGATTCAATGGCACTGAGGTTGGTATTGATCTCCAGCATTTGGTCCATATCAGCTTGGCTGTTGGCGGCGGCGTTGGCTTGGTTTGCAGCTGTGATCTGCTTAACAATTTTATAGCCTCCAAACATCACTATCGTCACACCAAGTCCAACGCCAGCAGCGATCATGAATTGGGGACTTGACAGAAGTGCAAAGACGGCCGGAGCACTGTTTCGGAGCGCAATTAGTGCTGTAGGGGCTAATTTTTTGGCCAGAGTGCTTATTTCCGCGAGAGTAAGAGCGATAGCGGCCATGGCATCCGGGTTCTTCTGCAAATGAGCCATGGTAGCCGAAGCAGAATGATGCGCGCAGTCGGCCTCGATAAGGAGGCTCTTGACTTTGCCCACGAGACCATCCAACTCCTTATCAGGAGCACGGTTCAACTTCTCGAGGCTGGCAGGGTGAAATTCGCCATAAGCTAAATTCATGTCAATGTGAGGTTCAGAGTGTGTACGGCTGCTAGATTTGAGGTGCGGTGGTTTGGCGAAAGCAAGGTCACCTGATGTATGGCGGCGTGTCATGGCCGTGTTGGCGGGCCTAGAATGGCGTGACGACGCAACAGAGCGAGAGTCATGCTCGTATGATCGACGGGGTTCATCATGGTAATGGCTAGCATGTGTACTGTGTCGAACTACAGACTTCGAGCGAGTTGGGTGGCGTCTTGATGCACTTGATCGACCGTCAGATAGTTCAAGGTTTGCGATAGCCTGTCGAGCTTCTCGTTCGGCCTGTTTGGCACGGTTTTCGGTATGGATTTCTGCTTTTCGAGATCGGTAGGCGGATCTTGCTTCCTTGAATACGCCGAATATATGTTTACTCTATGGAGAGCAGCGATGAGTTTCAAGGCACATCGGGAATAAACATGATGGAAACTTACTGAGCTGACCACTTTCCCAGACTTGTCGATGACTGCAATAGTTTCTCCCAGCGCAACCATCTTGATTAGGGCGATAAGTTGGGGCGAGGGTGGTGAGGGGTGTTGGAGGAAATCAGAGCAAGACGTCGCAGAGCAGTTGGGGGCCAAGGATTGATGCTTGCTTGAGGGGGACAGATGGATCCAACCAAGAGGAATCACAACTTAGTCTCTAGGAAGATGGGTGCTCTTCCATAATTTGAAAGAGACAAACAACGGAAAGGGTTATTGCTTTATTTGCAGGACCAAGGCGCAAAATTTGCGGAATAAGGAGAATGTCGGATCGGTGAAGCAAAGCAGAGAATGGTATGGAGTAGACTGGACGCCCCGACCTTTCGGAGGTCCAGATGCCACTAAAATAGCCCGCCTCGTCCCCACGATGACGATGATGCTGTTCTTGACGCAGGCCAGTCGCATTCAGGCACCAAGATATTCCCACCCAACAATCACCTCATGCCAGCAAATCAACACGCGGCTTTCTGCTGGCAAGCCCGGCATTCGCCTTGACATGGGAGAAAAACTCTGATATGCGCACCCGCCGAGCGGGGCCCATCCTATCACCGCTGCCGAAACCGCGCGGGAAAAGGCGATGGCTGGGGAGTCGCAGCAGCGGGCGGTCGGGAGCTGCACCGCCACAGCCACAGGAGCGGCACAGCCACTTTGTGCGCGCTGAGATAAGCGTGGCTGGAGGCTCGGCGCTGGCCGTCCACCCACGGGCAGCCAGACGACATCCCGCGGTTTCAGCCAGCGCGCAGGCTCTCTCGCGCCGCGGCCGGCTTCGCAATGCAACAGTCGCTCGCTTGGCGTCTTGCCTCACTGTCTGTGCTCTTGCAGGCCCTCGCCAGGCATTTCTGCAGTCCTGTCCGCCGGCGACGTCTGCACTTCTTTAAGGATCAGCAGAGCGGGTTCGACTGACTCTTTATCCACTCCAGTGCTCCAGGTGTTTTCAACGTCTCGGCCCACCCACGGCAGCAAACCCTGCTTGATCCGGCGCCAATCTGGACTGGCGAGGCTAAGGCCCTGGCGAATCTCGCCGGTTTCAAGGTACCTGACCGCCCTTTTATGCTTCACGGGGCCTGCAAAGCTCAAACCTTCTTCCTCTGCTGCATCGCGAGTGGACTCGTAAGAACGATCTTCCTGCATCTTATTAACGAGGCCGGCGTCATCTCGTGCTCTTGACGTAGAAATAAGGCAGGACTTTCAAGGATCCCACATGTCTCGGGCTCTCTCATTTGTTGCAAGACACGCCCAACAAAATAATGCCTCTTGGTTAGAACGCGGAAAGCTTTGTTTGTTCCACAGTCTTCCCTATAGCGAAAGCTAGATAGCAAATTCGAAAACGAAATAATGTATGGAGTAGTTATCTTAAACCAATTCATACCACAGGATCACGTTGCTGCTGCAACCATCTGCAACTTTTTTTTTTTCAGCCCGATCTCAGCAAATGCTCCCTGCAGTTTTCTATCGCATGTTTCCGTATCCAGCGTTCTTTCATCATCCACACAACGAAAGCCCCGGCGATGGAAACCAAGTCGTGCAATGCGCCGTTGATAAGGCTGTGCCTGGGAAAAGTAGGCCGCTGGTGAGTCGCCCCGCCAGATATCCTCGTCCTTCTACAACTCGTCTTAGGCGTTGAATCGATCAAGGAGGCAGTGCCGACTGCATTGTTGACCAAGTCTGGAATAGCAGCTCGTCCAAGCTATCCAGACGGGGGGGAGATGGTAGCTAATGCTTTGCTAACTCGGTTCTTTGGTGAACAACGTCCAAAGGCCGCCGCATGCGATGGAATGTAGCAAACCAAGCGAGTCTGGTAAGTAGTAGGGGGTTAGGCGCACCATACTTTCGTATTTCCTATTCAAAATGCGATACATGTGGTGGGCAGCATGGCATCACAGACCGCGAGCGCCGCGACTGATCTTCTGAGAAGATTAGGTTCTCCACCAGAGCTGTCGGCGCGGCGGGAGCGCGAAAAGCCTAAAGCGATCTTCCGCCGGGACTAAAATTCTCAAGTGTTTTCTGATACAGCGCCCGCTGGCCACAGAACAAAAACCAAATGCTAACATGAGCGGTTTAGAGGTTGAAAATTCGTCGAGCAAACATGCCGGTGCTGCTGTCGAGGCTGATTCGCAATCCTTTCCTTCAGGGTTCGTAGATTTGAAAAGCGAGTCTGCCGTTGGCCACCGCGTCCATGCTGTGCGATCTGTCCTGGCTCTGGTCCTCGATGAAGAATGTGTCTTTGCGGGGTTACAGGGCGGCGACATAGTGGTAACTATGCCCTTCCCAGTCGCCTCAAGCCTATCCTTGATACACGCGTCAGTGACTCCAGGCCTTTGATCTCGGCTAATTCTCTATGTAGGCTTGGTCTCTGGACACATACGACCTGGTGCTGTCAGTAAAAGCCCATGAAGAAAGTGTCCTTGGGCTGTACCTCTCGGAGGATGGGGCGCTTCTCTTTTCCAGTGGCGGAGACTCCGTTGTCAATGTATGCCACTGCTTTCCGGCATACGGAGTACCCAAGATGGATCACGCACTAACGTACCTGTGAAGGTCTGGTCTACGAGCACGTTCGAACTATTGTATTCGATATATTCCCATCACGATGTTGGTGATTTATTCACCGTTGTGTATTCCTCAGAGTTGAAAACCGTCTACTGTGGCGGACAGAACACCAGTCTCCAGGTAAGTGCGGCTGAAGCGCCTGGTTCGCCGCGTCCGGGATGCTGAAATATCTAGTGGTTCAATCTTCTTCGAGATGCAAACCATCCCACCAACCCTTCTCACAGAGCGCACAAATTTTTTGACTCTCGAGGCCCTGGCGAAATCCGCCCTCGCGCCCGTGAAAATGCTCAGGCGCGAGACGCATTCTACGATGGTCAAACGCTCACATTTAAAAGAGACCAGCATAGACTATTTGCTCATAACGGCTATGTTTACTGTATGGCTCTTGTCCGTGGGTTACTCGAGTGTAAACCCGGGAGAGAGGTCCTTCTCACTGGCTCTGGCGATGGCTCTGTGAAAGTATGGGAGCTTGGTCTTGGGGCTGACATTGCGCCGACTGAAATTCTTTCTTTACAAAATGGCAACGAATCTGTGCTATCAATCGCAATAGATGGGCCTTTCTTGTATTGCGGGCTCTCTGGCGGAGCGATCAACGTATGGAACTTGGATTCCCGTCAAATAATTAAAACGATTACCGACCATGCTGGTGATATCTGGGCAATTGATATCAAAAAGGGAGTCATTATCAGTGGTGACGCAGATGGTGTCGTTAAGGTAGGGACTTTTCTTCCACAGTTTCCTAACTAACTAACTCCTAACCTATGATTAGAAATTCAATTCTCGGTTTGAGGAGATTACATCGTGGACTGCCCACAATGGCACCTTGCTCGCTTCTGCTGCTGGACTTGTTGGAGATCGATGGATTTATGCCACAGGAGGAAATGATAACTCTGTAGCCATCTGGGATTTGACAGAACACAGCACAGATTCTCATGAGATCCCAGCCATTAGCAATGGTATTTCTGTTCGCCTCCTTGGCTTATGCTGTTCTGACACTAACTCTTTTCTAGACGAGTTGGTTAATAGTTTAGCACAATTTGTTGGGTTCAAGACCATTTCAGCTCGACCTAAGTTCTCTGGAGAATGCAATCAAGGCGCTGCCTTCTTACGTCGGCACTGCATATATTTAGGTGCACAGACGCATATTGTCACTACAGGTCAGAAGACAAATCCTATTGTACTGGCAAAATTTCCCGCGGTCTCTACCCTTTCTTCTGACAAAACGATTCTGTTTTATGGCCATTATGACGTTGTTGGCGCGGAATCAAACCAGGCTAAGTGGAATACTGATCCATTCCAGCTAACATCGCTCAATGGTTTTCTTTATGGAAGAGGCGTATCGGATAACAAGGGTCCAATATTAGCTGCTCTCTATGCAGCTGCTGAGTTGAAGCAAAGAAAACAGCTTTCCTGCAACGTGGTGTTCTTGATTGAGGGTGAAGAGGAGTCTGGGTCTCAAGGGTTTGCCGAAACAATACAGGAAAACAAGGCCCTTATCGGGCCGGTCGACTGGATACTCCTGGCAAACAGTTATTGGCTCGATGATCATATACCCTGTCTAACGTATGGGCTGAGGGGCGTCATCCATGCGAATCTAATTATTACCAGTAGCCATCCAGACCTCCATAGTGGTATCGATGGCAGCTCGTTACTCGACGAGCCTTTGAAAGACTTGACTCTGCTGCTAGGTACATTAGTTGGGCCGAAAGGCAAAATCAATATACCTGGATTTCATGACTTAGTCTTGCCTCTCACGCCAGTTGAGAAACAGCGCTACGATGCAATCGCAGAGGCACTTCTGCCGCATCACCCTGAAATTGAAGATGTTGCCGCATTCACTGATTCACTGATGCATCGCTGGCGCGAACCGTCTCTTACCATCCATGCTGTGGAAATTCCTGGCTGCAGAAACTCCTCGACCACAATATCACGCAAGGCGAAGGCCACGTTGTCCCTACGGCTCGTGCCAAATCAAGACGCAGACAAAGTTGCAGAAGATTTGATCAACTACGCACAATCGCAATTTGCTGAACTTGATTCAGAAAACACACTCACTGTGGAAATCACCGGAAAGGCGGATCCCTGGCTCGGCGATCCAGACAACGAACTCTTTGGGACACTTTCTCGCGCTGTAACAGATGTGTGGTCAGCAAGTAAAGAGAGCAGGAAACACGATAATTACCCCATCCCTGTCTCTCTTAGACGCCTGTCAAATGGCCTTTCTCGAACCACTTCTTCCGACAGCCTCGCCTCGTCGTCCAATATCGAGCGCATTCTCGCATCTTCCTCCTCTGCCCCAAAAGCCAAAGCAAGCCAGCTGAAGAAATCATCCTATTATTTATCCCAAATACCCACATCCTCAACACTGACAATCGAACTGGGCGACAAGAATCATGATCACCAAGAGAGCTCTGAGCTAAATAACGAGGCGTCCTCCGCAAAGCGTATCAAGCCAATTTACATTCGTGAGGGTGGCTCTATTCCCACAATTCGATTCTTAGAGAAGGAGTTCAATGCTCCAGCCGCGCATCTGCCTTGTGGACAGGCAAGTGATAATGCACATTTGAGCAATGAACGGCTAAGGGTGGAGAATCTGTATCGAAGCAGGGAAATTTTCAAGAGGGCGTTCAGAGATCTGGGCGGTGTGTCCACAAACGAGTAGAGTTGCCTTGCTTGAGGCTATCGACGTTTTTCTTTTCTAGGTTTGTATTCCGCGGTTACGTTACCTTACTACATGTTGATTATTTGAGCGAAATGCACACGAATTTGGGAATAGCTTAGGCGTTGGAAAGTAGCCAAATAATCGATATCTTTGAAATGTCTATACAGATATATTTACATTGAACCACTCCATATTCCATGCAATGCTTATTGTTGATACAATAGATGTTACCAAATCCTCTTCCCAACCATCTCATATCGTCGCACATTCTCGAACCCATGCATTCCACCGCCAGTCTTCGTGGCCTTAGCCGCGTCTCTCTCATCCCGCTCCTTTAGTCTCTGCAATCCGGCAGGATCATCGGTATATATCCAGTTCCTCCTCTCTTGCCCAACTTCTACAGCCCCCCAACCTCCAAAACGACGACTGCCTTCCACAGTATCACTGGCTGCACGTCCTTTGCCATTCCCACTAAGTGAAAATGAAGGAGGCGCAATTTCTGGAGGTGGACTGGGAAGGCTGTTTTCTGTAGGCTGAAATGCCGGTGTTGGTTTGGATTGAGCCTGTTTTTGTTGCTGGTGGAACAATTCTCTTTCACGAAGCTTCATCTGCTTGTATCTCGCTCTTGAGTACCCCAACAGGATCATTCCCAAGATCAATTTAACGAGAAGAAGTGTGACGTAGAGAAGGAGGAGGAGAATAACAGTGAAAATGGGAACATATGCCGTTGGGGATGGTGTAGTATGCGAAATCAACTTTTTCATCAAAAGGTTGACCTGGCTAAGGGACATTGGAAATGAAAAAGTCAAGGAGGCATTTGCCGCTGAAGTAGAAGAGTAGTGTTCGTGTATTGCGGATAACGAAGTTGAATGTAACGGCGTAGTTAGGGAGGGTGGTTGAGGTAGCCATGCTGTTAAAAACATTTGATAAGTCTGTATTGAGACACGGATGAAGAGGCAAGAGAGCGGTATAACCGGTAATCCTAGGCGGCGGTTCAGGTTCTGATCGGCGAAGGCGTTGGTGTAGTAGTCTTTTGCGAGGATATCAAGGAATTTGCCGTAGACTGAGGGCCTAATATTATTAAATTTATTGACGTATGCATGTTTCAGCCAGTCAACAAGCATCTCAGAGCCCAGTACGACTAGGAAGGGACCTAACACATGTCCAATTGTAGGAAGAAACGTGTTCATATTGCTCATATAAGCGAATAGCGAGGAAGGAAGAAGAGTGAATGATTGTGGAAGAATCGAGGATGCGGATCTTGGGGGATTAGACGCGGGAGTGCTGGTAGTAGTGTTCGTCGCACTACGAGAAAATGGAGCGATAGCATTTCCAAATGAGAGGGCCCCTGTTTCCACAAAATTTCTCGACGCAATGATGAGAAGCATCAGCCATAGTTGGAATCGCTCAACCACATCAGCGCAGGTTAACTGGAAAAGGTTTTCTTTTTCGAATTTTTTAAAGACGGTGGATTTGATCTCCACAAACTGGTTAGATAGTAGTAGGGTGATTAGGGCATTTGAATAGGAGTTGACGGCGACATTCAACGTCATTACTTGGTAGAATAAGGCAGTGGAGTGTATAATAGTATAGACTAATGCCAAAAGGAACAGCCAGAACGGGCGGAGGACTTTGCTCCGCCCATCTGGCTTACGCTCAAGTGCTTCACGAGAGAACAGACATTCGAGAACGTCCTGACCAATGGCGGAGAACAGTCGATCTCCAACCTACAAGCCGTGAGTAAAAACATTTTGCTGTGCATTTGTTGCAACATACCTCGAGAACGTTATAAATGACGTACAACTTGATAGCTGCTTGGCCACGAATCCAATGGTACATTCGGCTGGCATCGAAATATAGGAGAATGGTACATGTGAATACCATGAGTAAGCCTTTAAGAATATCGGCTTTGTCGTCAGGCAGCAAACCGGATGGAACGGACTTTGTTCTCCGATGACGAGAGATGCGGCGCTGAATGTCATCTCCTCGTTTTAGGTCCTGGTTCGGACCGGAATCCTCGTCGACTGTAGTTAGAATATTCGAAGATACCTCCCTCTCTCGACAGGTAGTTTCTGAAGACTTTCGGGATTTTGGTTTCCTACCAACGGATCGTGCCCGCCGTCTTCTACTCCACACTCTACCAAGTCCTCCAGCAATGAAGGCAGATATATCTCGTACCTCTAGCCCGAAATTAACCAACCATGATTTGAAAAGGATTATTATCGACTTGCAGAACCGCAATGGGAGTATTGTGAAAGAGTACAGCCACGAATCTAGACACGCAAGTGCTCCAAACAGTAGGACGCTCTCGAGGGACGGTGGGAGGAGGAGAAAGTTCTGAAGTCGTTCAATTTTGGCACGAGAAGATTCATATGGGAAGTCCTTTGTGCGCGATTGGTGGATGTAGAGAGGAGAAGGGCGATCCGAGGATAATTCCAGCTGAAGATACGTTGGAATGGAGAATGGAGGAAGAGGGATAGATGCCGGTACGGGCGACGGTGCATCCCTAGATAACGGCCCAGGCCTAAGCGCATCTTCTGTATTTGGATGGCCGGGCGCACAGCGGTCTGTTCTAGATTTCCAATTCCCGGGTTGGCGGTCTGTTTCGAAGGGCGATCGCAGGCGCCGCGAGGAGCTCGCAGTCTTCGCGGTCTGCGACCGCTGCCGACTTGCAGAATGCGGTTGCTTCAACGACTGACTGAAGTCGGGTAGCTGGTCGAAATTTGCGTGCTTTAGACTCCCTGATTTCTTCCTTCGTCCAGTATCGCTCTCCCGGCGGCCGCCTCCTCCTCCACTCTGTCCTGTATTCGGCGTGTTCATCGCCAGGCCCATAGTCGCCGCACTGTCTTGATGCTGTCTACGATCCTGACCATCGTCATCCGCCAGCCAAAAGTCCCGCGCCGGCACTTCTTCTGCAGGAGCAGGGTTCGCCGTTCCGTAGTCTAACTCGGTAGGAATCGTATGGAAGCATAACGAGTCGGGCGCGGAGGTTAATTCTTTGATCTGCGCAGGAGATAGCTTCAGGGCCGGACCCTTTTGCTGGTGAGGGCTTCGGCTGTGGACATGCACGGTCAATGGGACTGCGGCTGTGGTGGCAGGCGTAGCAGCTGTGGAGATTTCGGACGGGACAGTTGTCCTTTTCGCACGGCCAGCGGGACCCTTCGCCAATGTATATCCAGCCAATTCTTCGGCGATATTTCCTCGAGTGTCGGGGCTGGGGCTCGAAGCGGAACGCGTTCTTCCCGACTGTGGCTTGTCGACGTTTTTCTGGGCTGCTTCGGCCGATGCATTCTGATTGCCGTGATCGCGATGTGTCTGCGAACCGTTGTTAACCGTTCTTGGGCTTATTTCCCGTTGGGGGCCATCTCTGCGCTCCTCCCCATCAGGATTCATCCCCGCTGCGATCGAGCCTGTAGTCGAAGTTTGATTCGAAGACCTTGTCGCCGCGGTCCTCAAAGGATCATGCTCTTCCGTGCCGCTATTTCGATGAAACACGACGCTCGAGCCTCGCTGTCCATCGTCCGTGTCATCCGCGAGGGAGGGTGTAGGGTTGTCGGCGGTAGAAACATCAGATGATGGGCTGGTGTCTGGATGCGTGGATGAGGAAGCTGGTGGACGCGAGATCATAATTTTTTAGCTTTCCTGCAGCTTGCCACATCTTGTGACATCGATTGCAGGGAGGCTATTCGTGGTGCTCTGGAAACCAGAAACCATCGTCGCTGTGTGAGGAGAGAGTCTTCAAAGGCAAAGAGCAGGTGGTTTGCTAGTTAGTTACTTAGTTAGTTGACTACATAACTAATAAGTAGTTAATTGATGACTTCTTGAATCTGCTCCAAACTCGATACTCTCGGGACGTCCAGCTCATACGGATTATATAGAAGAGCCACTCTTATTCCCCATAAATTAGGCGTTACTACAGCTGCTGTAGAGTACATACAATACATTTTCACCCCGTCTTCATTAGCAAAAGGGGCGGCAAGGCACGGATGAACAGAAGCAACCAGAAACACCTCGAATGAACCCCTTTTTTTTCATAATCATGACTGAACAGGACACATAGAAACGAAAAAAAGAAACAGGCTCAAATCGGTGTTTGACCGAATGAAATCGATAAAAAGAAAGAAATTGGGTATAAGATTCGAATGTAATGGTGGAAGGAAATTAGAAGCCTGCCTCTTTCTCGTAAAAAAAAAAAAAAATTCCTCATGTATTTGTTCCAACAACATCAGATCGCAGCCCTGTGCGAACTCACTTTTTGATTGGAATAAGACGGTTAGTCGTTAATTACATTCCTATTAATATCGAAAGTTCGGGTTAAACGGGCCTCCTTGGGGCGGCGGAGCGGTGCCTGCACGAGGAGGTCCAGGAGTTTGCATCCTGGGGCCTTGCTGTAAGACCGGAGCCGGCCATGGCCGAGTAAAATTGCGATATGACGGATCTGGAGTAGCACTTGGGATTGGAGCGGTCATCGATCGATCTGGCATCGAGGGAGAAAACGGTGGCCGCCTGCCAAAGTTGTTTTCTGGCGCGGGACTTCCTCGCGCAAATGGATCGAGAGGAGTCCGAGGTCTTTGGGCAGCTTGGGCGGTGGGAGGCCTATAGTCACTCATCGAGGATACCGGTGTTCCGTATCTCTCTGGCCATGCTGGCGGCCCATTGGTCGGATATGGAGTGGATGCGTTGTAACCGAATGCCTGCGCGTTGTTCACCAAAGACGCAGTGTCATCCAATTGCGGAGCGGGGGTTGCAGAGGTAAAACTGCCACTATCTAATTTCATATCGGGTAGTGTTGGTTTGCGGTCTAACGGAAAGCTGGCAACTGAAGGTGGTGCCCTGGAATATGGAGGCAAAGTAGTAGTGGTGGTTTGTCGGGATAGGCCAGGCATAGACGAAATATCTGATGCTGCGCTGCTTCCCGTATAGCCTAAATTAGGCAAGGTTGGCTGTCGTTTGGAGCCATCCAAGCCAGGTTCCAAATCCGCACGAGTTCGATCTTGCAGCGCAAGCCCCTTGGCTAGAGCTTTATTGACCTTTCTTTTAACTATGCGCTCGAGTCGTCGGTTAATCTTGCGGCGGCAGTATGTCTTGAGCGTTCCATCTTCTGTTGGAATGTGGTGCCACAAAAACACGACATATAATATCACAGAAACTGCTAAGCTTAGGATGGAGACCACCCAGATGACGAGGGTGAAAAGCATGGCAAAAAGGATAGTCGCCTGGAGTCTATCTTTCTCAGCCAACACTTTAATATTAATGAAAAATTGCTTTACTGGAGATGTGTCAGCGGGAGCGGCATTGTGGCCGGTCGGGATTAGATTCAGCTGCATCACCGAATACAGAGTCATGGCATTGATGACTTGACGGGGACCCTCGGCGAATATGACCCGTAAACTGGCTGCATGGGCGTTAGCATGAAAGGAACCGGCATATAGCAGGGGCATGCATGAGAGTGTACGGAGTACCTTCAAAGTTGAAATATGTGAACAAAGCCACGTAATCAGCGCCTTTCCTACTCTTTGTTAATTCAGCAAAGACCAGGAACCGTCGATACCCCTGACCCTCACTTCCCATTCGCGTACTCTGAATTCGAACGGCGACTGGGTCGAGGTAACTGGGAGCCACGCCACCCGAGCGTATGACCCGAATGGCACGGATCCAGCGGTACGCGAGCAACACAAAGGAGAGAATGATGCAGCCGGCGAAAATCCATTTTGAAATGGTAAACGGAATCTTAGGTTTGATTTGCGACGACCAGCGAGAAAAGACCAGCAGGTTGATTGCAGTGAAGGAGTCGACGCCGTAGACGGCTATTGACGTAAAGATCGTGATGTAGAGAATGCCGTAGGAAAAAGGAGCAAAACACGAGCTCGTCTTGAAGTCTGACAGCGTCTGGAGCGAAGACCATGTTAGCCATAGCACGATAACTAGTCAGGGCGTCGAGGCGCTGCCGCCGACTCACGATGTAGCTCCATTTTTGCTCCGCCTTCACATCGGCCAAGTCGTCGTCGTCACGACGGCCACCACAGCAGCCCATGATGTCTTGTTAGCCGGTGCAGGACGCAGTGAATGCCATAGAAAGCCCGCTTGGGGCGCGGAGAGAGGGATATAATGAGCGTGGGCGCCAACAGATCGGACCAGCCGGGGGAGGGGATGTGGGCTCAATAGCGCCAGGCAGGAGATTGAGCGCAACCGAACAATAGCGAGAGAGCGACAGGAAGAGAAAGCAGAGACTAGGTAACTACACGGCGCAGTCAACCATCGAGGACAAGGGAGTGTGTGCGATGGGCGTCATCGTCGCTGAAGCAGGACAGAGGACAGGACAGGACCGGACGCAGGCCAGCCGCCAGACGAGTAGCCCGCGACGGCGCGATGCAACCACCGGCGGAACGAGGGGCGCCTCGCAGCGGCGGTTCATTTCATGCAGCGATCAGCGCCGGCCAAGAAAGGGGCCGCCAGGTGTGGCTTCGACAAGGTTAACCAAGCTCCTGCGTGTCTCACGTCCGGCCCGCCCGCCGCTGCGCTTCTCCGCTTCTCCGCGCGCGCTGTCGCCTGTCGCTGCTGTTGTTGCTGACGGGCAGCCCAGCCCTTGCCTGCGCGTTGCCGCTGGACAGCATGTGGCGCTCTGCAGCGACGCCATCGCCAGCCGCCACGACAGGCTCTGCGTCTCGTCCGTCGCTCTCGCGGCAGTCTGATGGCGCCTCTGCGACGCCGGCGCTTCGCTGCCAAGCCGTCACCGTGTTTGATGTGTGCCACAAGCCTCCCATGCGCCTGTGACGACCGTCGGTCGCGATGAACGGGCGTCAACGATGGGCACTCGCGTAGTTACAGATTGGCGGTGCGGGCTGTGGTGGCTGCAGCGAGCGGCCATCGCTAAAACATCGGTCTTCATGATATGGTATTAATATTTCTTGACGCCATAGAAAAGAGTCGCTGTGGCGAAACCACGCTAGATGCACGACTATCGTTACAGTTTGAATGCTGAGGACAACGGAGGTGCCAGGGGATCCTGTGTCGAAGGAAAGAGAGAGAGAGAGAGCAAGAAAAGGAAATCAGAAAGCCCAAATATTAACCAAACCGTGCCTAACAGCCCCCCGAGTCACCCTAGATCCATTCACTGTCCATCAATCCATGCTCTTTAGCCGCAGAAGATACCATCATCCAAGCCCGTTTGTACTCCGTAGATGCCACTCATCCCAATAAGGGCTGCCCTTCATCATCTGCCACGTCTCCCGACTCGTGGGTCGTCGCTGGCTTTCGCTTCTTCCGCCGCTTCTTCTTCTTGTCTTGTTTCGCCGAGGCGTGGGTGTGGCTCGTTTCCTCGGGGTCGTTCTCAGCGTCGTCGATTTCCACGGCGCTAGAATTTTTTAATGCCTTTCCAGGTATTGTGCTGCTCGAAAACTCCGCACCGGACGAAGAGCCATTTCTGTCTTTCTTCCTCTCGCCGTCAGATACACCCGAGCGGCTGTCTGACGTTTGCAAAATGACCTTGCGGATGCCGTTGCTATCGACGATCTGCTCCGTAATGCTGCCACTGCGTACAGGGCCGCGAGGAAGGTAGGGAAGTTTCGGGCTGGAATTGCCACTCGTAGAGCGCGAATGGTCCGAATAGATCACGTCGCTATGCTGGCCACTAGGACCTTTGGCCTTTCGATACAGGAGGTTGCGTTGACTGTCGTGGCTATGACTGGCAGGTCCGCGTTGGGAGGTGTGGTCGCCAGCAGTTCCATAAGCCCTCAATGCCTGGACTCCATCGCTTGCAGTTTTACCTGCAGATCGAACTCCACTGCTGGATGCGGTGGCCCCAAGAAGACTAGTTGATTCTGACGTTGGATGGACATCTGGAGTTTCCACTCTCGATTCCGTTTCAGTCTGTACTAAGGGAGACGATGTAGTGCCAGGTTTGATCTTCACATTGTTGTATCGGGTTTGGCGGGGTCGGCTGGCAAGATTCGAAGGGCCCAGATGCTTAAGATGCTCGCGAATTTCTGGTGTGGCACCACGTTGTATAATAGCTTCAGCCCGCTCTGTCGCGTCTTGAGTAGGTGCCCTTCGAAGCTTGAAGATTGGAGGTGGCGGAGAACCAACATCGGGAACCGAACTCTTCTGCTGCGAGCTTTGCAAGTCTCCTGTCTTTGCTGAGCTGGACTCCGCGTTTTTCTGCTTGTCGATCAGTCCTTCAACGTCCGCTTTTTGCTGTGCAGTTAATTCATCAAACGGATCCGTCACAATTCGGCCTTTTGGAACACGAGCTTTAGGTGCGGGCGCCATGCGACGAATAGCTTTGTGGACGTCGATGAACACGTCCGATTCATCAATGATTTCCCTATAAATGTCAGCGCCCCGTCTTCAAGTTGGCTTTCACTTAGTACTTACTCCCCAATGAGTTCCTCAATAACGTCTTCCAATGTTACCACGCCCAAAGCCCCATGATCTTCCCCAGGAAATTCTGATACTAACACCATGTGAGACTTCCCTTCTTGAAAAAAGTTGACAATGTCCAAACAGCTCGTCTCAGCTCGCGTTTCTGGAAGCGTGGCAAGAGCAAAATCCCGGACTTGTTTTCCATCTTCTGGATCATACGTGATAAGCATCTTTACCAACAGCATGCCGACAAAATTCTGCGGGTTATCTGGCGAGTGGATTGGAATTCGCGAGTATCCCTGGGATAAAATAAGATCCATCATTTGCTCGTCCAGCACGGTATCAGTCGACATTGTAAAGACATCTTCCATTGGAATCATAATGCTACCAACAGCCTTTTCCTTCAAATCAAGGACAGCACTTATGATAGTGACCTCGTCAGAATTCAATTGCTCTCCAGCGCTTCCTAGAGTTTTATGCAACGTGACAAGCGTCTTTAAACCGGCTTTCTTATACAGCGTTCGATGGTCCGCACCAAGTAATCTATCAAGTAGTTTTGCGATTGGCCAGGCGACAGGCGACATGATGTACATCAGGGCTAACACACAAGGGGACATCCAGGCGCCAATAGGCAATCCGTAGCGGACGCATATGGACTGCGGGACTACTTCACCAAAAACAACTGCGGGATATGTTAGCCATCCTGCTAAGACATTATGGCATACCGGCGGACAAACCAATCAATGCTGTACTGCCCAAAACCGCAGGCCATCCACCTCCAAGCGATCGATCGAGGACGATAGGAAGAGTCTCGTTGGTAATGACATTGCTCAACAACAAAGTAACGAGTACCCAATGTTTTCCCTTTTTCAATAAATTCAGCACTTTTTCGGCATGTCGCTTTTCGGGTCCTTCGCCAGACGTCTTAATCACTTGCAGGTAAATTTCATCCTAAAAGGCAAAATCAATTGTTAGTCGGTGCTCAATTAGATCGGGCCTCATAGAAACACACCTGGCCCATCAGGGCGATCGTTAGTCCCGCGAAAGCGCCACCCGTAACCACCAATGCCGTGGCAACCCCAAGGTAGAGCCAGAAACTGGGCTCATCAGATGGCTCGCCATCCTTAGCATTCAGAAGGGGAGAAATAACCGGTATTCCAGCAGCAACAGGAAACCGCGCAAAAAGAGATAGAAGCAGCTTGATTAGCCCCATACCCAGGCATCTTCGGCCCATAAAGCGGAGGGAATGCATCGAAACTCAATTGGATGTCTGTCAAGCCTAGGATAAATTCATAACCGCGATTTCTGACGAATTGAAAAGGAAAAGAAAAATTATATAAGTACAAAAAGAGTCCAGTCAGGAATAGCAAATCGAAGGTAGAGCTTCTGCGCAAGCTCGCGCGTGGTAGAGTTGTTAGAGGCCAGGTACACCAGCGGCGGGTAGATAGATAGAGAGATAGCTAGAGTCTAGAGCACCGGACCAGCGAGATTCGAAAAAGAAAAGAAAAAGTTACAAAACGCAAGCAAAGGTATGTTATGTGCGGATGGACTGGAGCCGACGAAATCGAAACGGACGGCAAAAAGCTCAGGAAACACCCAAGGTACCGTCACTAGCAGAGCGTGGCGCGTAGTTACTTGGGCGTCTCGGGCGGAGGGCGCTGACTCATCACGCCAGCCCGCGAATTGCTCACCACGGGCACAAAACGGCCCCGGGAGCACATTCGCGGATACGGCGACGATACGAGGGCGAGCGCCTGGCCTCACATGCGCATTATTTCGCGCTCGTTCTGGAGGACGAGCTGCATCCCTTGGACTGTCAAGGGCGTCCGCGGCTCACGGCTCTCGTTCATAGGCCCATAGAACAGCTTAAACTCTCTGATTTCTTCCGCGAGCCGGTCTCTCATCTCCTCCATTATCTCGAGATCTCGCCGCGCCGCCTGCACGTCGCGCTGCAGTTTCTGGATCCGCCCCTTGGGCTCCGCAAAGACTGAGCCAACCGCCTTCTTGGTGCTTTGCTCCCGTCCCACTTGCTCGAGGCGCTGCTTCAGGTCTTGGTTTTCTTTCCGCAGCGCCAGCTCGATGTCGGTGTGCTTCTGGCCTTGCACCTTCAGCTTCTCGGCCGCGACTTCAAGCTCTTGGATCCGTTGAACGGCTCCCATGTCCATGGACGAGCTGATCGTGTCTTGGGCCTCCTTGAGCTTGCGCTGAAGGTCGTCGATGGCATGCCCCTGCTCAATGAGCTGTACCTGCAGTTTACCCACCGCGTTGGCTTTGGCGTTGCCGATCTCCTTCCTTTCCTTCTCGTGCTGCTTGCACAGCTCTCGCATTTCCGCCTCGACACTCTTCCTTATCCCGAAGAACTTGTCGTTTTCGATCTGGACCTGGCGCATCTTCGATTTCTCTGCCGCCAGCTCCCGAGACTTGTCGGCCAGCTCGTCGAGTAGTCGACCTTGCTTTTGGCCCATTTCGCTGCAATACTGGTTTACAGCAACCAGTTGACTCTCAAGTTCGCCCATGTGTATTGCCTCCTTGGTTGGCTGGGTGGGCTCTATGACTTGGCTCCCTGGCAAAGCGGCCTTCTGCACTATCTCCTTCTTCAGAGCGTCCTCTCTTTCAATGGCATTGGCCAGCTCTTGGTTGAGCTGTTGAAGCGCAGCGTCCTTTTGGCTAACGACAATTGAGAGACCCTGGTTGATTGTCCGCTGAATATCGACGGTGTTATTCAGGGATCGGGCCTCGCTAAGCTCACGTTCGAGGGCGGCGAACTTTTCCTCTGCGCTGCTCAGCTTTTGACGCATGGAGAGAATTTCGTTCTTATAGCTTTCCAGCTCCTCGTTCATGCGCTGCTTGTCGTTTGCCGCTTCGGTTTCGCCAGCCATTCCTGCTCGTACCAAGTCGGCAATCTTTGCTTCGAGGTCATTGACCTGTATGGCAGCGTTTGCCGCTTGAGCTTCTCCGGCCTCTCCCGCTCGTACCAAGTCAGCAATATTTACTTCTAGGTCCTTGACCTGTGTGGCAGCTCTTGTTGCTTGGGCTTCTCCGGCTTGCTCCAAGTCAGCAATCTTCGCTTCTAGGTCCTTGACATGGATAGCATGCTCGCGGCGCATGCTATCGACCTCGATGCTATGGTTCTTGTCTGCCGACTTGTCACGAATTTGGCGGCTTTCGAATTCGGCTTTGATCAGGCGCATTTGACGTCGACATTTGTTGAGCTTTTGGTTCAGAAGCTCGACGTGTTGTTTGGCAAGATGTTCCCGATCAGGGGCTTGGAGTCGAATCTCGGCTGCGCACTCCGATGCCTCCTTGAGCACACTCACCAACTCGGTGCCGAGAGTGTCACGTACCTCATCCCATGACTGGACACCCGAGGTAATCACGGCTTCGCATTTCTTCTCGATTTCACTAGTGAAAAAGAGAAGCTGCTCGCCGAGACTCAGCTCTGCAAAGGTACCAGCCAGTTGTTTGAGGGAGTTGTAGCCGTACATGAGAAGGGTTTTTAAGCCCTGCGCATATCGCAGCTCCTCACGGACCTGGTCAAGAGTGGTATCTTCCTCGACTCTTGACAACTTCTCGGCACAGGTTTGGCATTGAGAAACGTGCTCCTTGTTCGCTGCCAGCAGTGTATCGTTGGCCTTCCGAAGACACTCCAGTTCGATACTCTGTTTCTGGACCTTGCGATCCTTTAGCCGAATATCCCCCTTAAGCTGGTCAACGGTCGACCCAGCGGCCTCCTTGTAAGCCTCGAGTTGGGTAATTTTGGAAAGCAACTCAGTGGCCTTTTCTGACAGCCCTTTGCTGTTTCCGTTCAGGTCAACAGTGGAGTCGGTCTGGGTGCCCTTTTCGCTTCTGCGTTCGTGGTTGAAGAAAAATACTGCCAGTATAAACAGGCCAAATAACAACGAAACGCAGTACACTAAAATTGGCTCCAAGAGCTCCCAGTCCTACCGACATGTTAGTCTGTTAAAAAAATTATACCGGCGAAAATGCAGCCTACGAGAGTTGTTTCCAGTTTTGTGCTGGTCCACCACATCAATATGCGGTAACCGTCGCCTTCTCCCTCACAAAACAACCGGAGATTCGGGTTCTCTCTAAATCTCTGGCGAAGGGACATCGTTTCGGTGTGGGTGCAATAGCTGGACACCGCATCGACTGGACTGACGATGCCATCAACAACACCAGTGATATAGTACCACGCCGGGTCACCGTAGTTGACTTTTGTGAGGTACAGCACAAGCAGTATCTAAACTTGTTAACACCCATATCCACAAAGAAGCTTATCGTTTTTGCCATTTAGGTTGACTTACGACAGGGACAGCCACAATGGTCACTACATCGCCGAGGATCAGTCGACAAAGGAAGCGATAGCACCGGGTCCGTCTGAAGGGCGCCTGGGCCATGTTCAGGGCGCGCTTGACGACGCCTTTCATGCCATTGCTCGAGTATTCACTCGAGACAACGCGTGCCGCAACGGCAAATGCTCGTAAAATTGCGACGAGCCCGCGGTATGTGCACGAGCACACGACGGCCGTGGAGTGCACTGATACGGCAATGAACATGACCCCCGTGAAGACACTGAGTGCCAGCGCCTCCAAGTCGAGGTTGATCCACTGTGAGAGGGGGACGTCCGAAGGCATGGTGGCCAAATGCCTGGCCACCATGCCCAGAATCAACATCGCGATAAGCTCCATTGCTGTTGAATATCGCTTGGTCGGACTCTCAAAAGGATAAAAGATTCGAAGCAAGAATCTTGCTGCTGCAAGAGAAATTATGGGGGTTAAGTAAAGATATTAAGTTGAAGAGATCGATAGATCTTCACTTAATGACGGGAGATTGTTGCTTGGAATCTTAGAAAAGAAAGGGAGAAAGAGAAAGGAAAACGAGAGCTGAAAGAGAACAGAAATTTATATTGGGATGCTGATGGAAGTTTCCTCCTTGATATGCCATGGAAAGGTGAAGTAGACGGGCATTTCCGTTGTGTTGCTCTGAAGTGATGGGAGTTCCAACAACATGACTTGGTTTACTCACTTCACTATGGAAACGGCTGGCTGACTAGCAAAAGTCAGGTTAATTCCACTATGTTTTCTTCCAGGTAAGGTTATAGTGAAGAAGAAGTTGGGGGTCGCTGCCTACAGCTCAAGGCAGACAACCCCCACCTGCTAAATATTTATACAGCTTTTACAAACACTACAATGCAATACCTAACCAGTTTGTTTGCTAATTGTGCTTTTATATCTAATTTGTCCAGAGACAATCACTTTGTTGCCCTGAACGGCATCTCCCACTCCGCTCCGCCCCTGACCCGGCTTGGCGTTCCGCTGTGAAGTAAGGGGTATTATCTACTATTAGAGGGTAACCATCGTAGTATATGGAAGCTTCACTATATAAATTTTGTCTGAAGAATTGCAGTCTATGACAGAAACAGCAACATCTGTCTCTATCCAGATCAGTTGCTCTATCTATCCGAGTGATCTCGCATGCGAATCTTGGTATCTTCTTTTCAGCTAATACAAAACATCGCCAGCACTCTGTTCGCCCGAACAGAAGTCAATACTGGCACCAGCCTAAGCAATGAGGGTGTACAACTGTTACAGCAAAACGGCTTGCTCAAGAAAGCCCCCTCCCAATTCCATTTACAATACTCGCTTAAATCTATAAACATCATTTAATAATGAAGCGTTTGTTTAATAGCATCATATATTCCTGTGAGATCATTAGTTATAGATAACAATGAAGCTTTGCAAGGGCATGACATACTGGCAACATCCGGCAGGTTGAACTTCTCATACACTAGACCACAGTGTGTGCTCCAGCCAGCCACTCTCTTCACAGGGGCTTCTAAGCTTAAGAATGCTCCCTCCTGAATTGCGGCAGCGACCTCGGCGCCCACACCAGCATTTGTCATGCTTTCGTGGACAATAATGGCACGGCCAGTCTTACGAACGCTTTCAAGTACGGTCTCACGATCCCACGGGTAAATTGCCCGCAAGTCAATCAGTTCAATACTCGCGCCAAAATCCTTCTCCGCCTTAGCAATAGCATCGGAGCAGAGATATAATGGCTGTCCATAGGAAATGATGGTGAGGTCACTGCCGGGTTTGACGATATCTGCTTTATCTAATGGCAGATAGTAAGACTCAGTCGGCACATGTTCAACGGCTGCTCGGTAGAGAATCTTGGGTTCCATGAAAACGACGGGATCGTTGCAGTTGAGGATTGCGTTTAATAAAAGACCCTTTGCTTGAGTGGGGGATCTGGGGATAACAACTCTCAATCCAGGGATGTGTGTGAATAATGATTCTGGAGACTGGGAGTGATACCTAGTGTTGGTGACTGGTTAGTATTGCACCCACAGGGCAATCGCCCGTTACTGCAGCTCTTGCTTACAGGGCACCATGTCCAACTCCTCCACAGGGCATTCGAACAACCAGACCTCCAATATTTCCTCCTGTAGCACCCTCTCTATAGCGGAATTTGGCGGCTTCGTTTACTAATTGATCGAACGCCGGGAACACATAGTCGGCAAACTGGATCTCAGCCACGGGCTTGAAGCCCTCTGCGGCAGCACCAATACCAAAGCCTATAATACCTTGCTCGGTGAGAGGACTATTAAAGACCCGGTCTGACCCAAACTCCGTCTGCAAGTCCACCGAGCATCGAAACACACCGCCAAACGCGACATCCTCGCCAAACAAGAGCACCCTTTCGTCGGCCGCGAGCGCCGTGCGGAGAGCAGAGTTGATGGACTGGTAGAGGTTCACTCGCTTCGTGGGAGCATTCTGGGGTAGCTCTGAGTTAGTCGGCAGGGTTGAGGGCGAGTGGTGAAGAAGGGGCGTTGCTTTATAGTCGACGGGGAGATTGAGTCGCGCGCGTGGAGCCTGGGACGAATAGGCGCGGCGGGAACACAGCGAGCCGAGCAGACGACGAGAGGCGGCCATTTTCTTTGGTTCTAGGTTCACAATTGCCTACAGCTCACAACAGCCTGTCCTCCTCTGCGGGCGGTATGTTTTCTCTGGGGACGAGAGGGACGGCTTTTGGCTTTCGTCGCTTCTCCCCATCGTTCCCATCGCCGCGATTAGCCGCTCGGTTCGTCCAGATAAGATCCGACGATAAACTTTTCGCCGCCAGTCCGGCATTTCGTGTTTACCAGCCCGCAAGTGATGTTTACGATAGTACGGAATACACAAAACCGTCTTCGCGGATGTACTTGCGTAAAAAATATTCTTGTGCTGCCGGCACCCAATGCGAACTTCCGTCGCCGTCTGTTGAGCCACTTTCTGTGTTTGTCGCAGGCTTGCAATTTGCCGAGACGCGATTGGCTGGGCGTCAAGCCGAACATCAAACGACGTCATGGGACCGGTTGGGCGATGTTTACGCTGTGTAAAGCACTTTTAGAGTACAGAGTACACTAGATGAAATGCAATATAGGATTGAGAGAGGTACTTGGAGGGGCTGTTATCCTGGTTGTTCTATATGATGTCTATATGTGTATGTAGTGATTTATCGCAAAGTTAAAGTCTTAGAAAAAAAATGCATGGAGTACGGAGAAGAGCGCCGCTAATCTCAATTCGCATCCACCTCGACTGCCTGCTTTTGTTGAATCTCCTCACTCTTCTCATTTGCGGCATTTTGGAGAATTTGATTTTCCCAGGCTGTCATGGCTTGGACAAAAAATTGCTTCTGTTGTTCGCGAGCGTTGGGAGGGTCTTGCTTGCCTCGCCGTTGTCTTGAATCAATTGTTTCTATAATAGATGCGTTATCGCCGCCGACTTTGTGTCCATAGAGGTCATCATCGTGGATTGCTTCGGAGAATTCGTAGGTTCGGAATTCAGTGTTCGCCCAGCCGGTGCCTGGCCAGACGGGGGACGGACGGAGATTAGTATAGTTATTGGGGCTAGGTTTTTTCTTCGTGACTTCGTACGTGAAAACGAACAAAGAGGATAAAACGAGTTGGTCAAGGATCTCTTAAATAGCAAGATGGAGAGCAGGTAAAGGAATGTAATGTTCACTTATCTGAAACTGGGTAGAGTAAAGAAATAAACGTACCGGTATAAAGTGTGCTGTCTTGCCAGTCTTCGGTAAAGTAATGCAAGAAACCACCGTGGGAGACCATAATGATTTCCTTTTCAGGCCTCGACTTCAGCCATCGGCGTGCTTCTCGGGCACGAGCTGAAATTGCTTTGGCGTCCGGAGCCCATCTTGCATTTTTCTGCAGGAAAATCTGTCAGTTTTTACTTACGAAATTCCAGCAGCAAGGCGTTCACCTTATTATTCCAACCCTCTGTTACCAAAGATAAGTCCACGGGCAAGTCGTTTTCCCTAACTTCCCTTTCTAGAGCCTCGAGATCACTGCCGATATCGCACGGTACATCACTGGTCTCTTGAATTTCAGGTAAGGCAATCACTTTTAGGCCCTTTTCTCTCAATGGTACTTCAAATGCTAACAAGGCCGTATATATTGTCCTTCGGAGCGGCGATGCAACTATTAACTCGACATCTGAGTGGAATGGAAAATTGATAAGGAGATTTCGGCATTGAGTCTCGCCATGAGGAGTAAGTAGAGGGTCCGGAAGGATATGATTAGCATGGTTCAGGTTATGAAACCCCTAAATGTAATGGCAGATTAGATCCCGTCGTTATCAAGCCACATTGGTGACATAGAAATGCCGCAACGTTTAAGAAAGAGAGTTCTACCTGTGCATGGCGGACACAATGGATGACGGGCGACATATTGGACTTAAAGGCCGTTGTACCACAAAAGATCCGAGAGCTAAAATAACCAACTTATCGTATATATACCCCAATATGCTGCGGTCAAACGAGGACCGGAACCAAGAGCTGTCTAGGATACCAAAGAGGGGCTGCGGGGTCAGAATAGATTAGCCCGGATATCACTCAAAGAGTACGAGAAGAAAAGAAATTAATGAAGTCAGTTTAAGCACTAGGGTCTTTAGAATTTGAGCTCCAAACGCAGAAGGCTAGTTGACAGGAGAGTGAGAAAGTCCCCCTTTTGAGTCATAAAAAGGTACTCATACTGAGTACACGTCCCCTCATTGGCTCCTGTGTCGTGAATGCTGACAAGATGCTTTTAGAGTTTTGGATTCCATTCCGGTCACATGTTACAGTGAGCAGTTCTGGCCCGTTCATTGGCTCTTATTTCGGATTAATGTAAGCCCGTGCTATCTTGCACCACCTAGAAGCCATGATCTGATTAGATTAACTAACTAACTTTATAACTACTCTGTACTCCGTAATTAGATTGCTCTCCGTATAGACAATTCCTGCGCAACTGTTGCTGTAACCAAATTCTATCACCACTTAAATGCCTTGGTACCAATGCTCCGATTTCACCATGCTGTAAGAATACAGTCCCGTGCGCCAAAATGCTGTTCAAATGCCAAAGTGCTGTTAAGCACTGCCAAACCCCTTGGTATTCTCCAGAGCCTTCTCTAATCTTTCTTCCAAAACTGCACGACTGGAATACTCCTGTAGGTAAAGTTTGCCGAAGCATGTAGAGCTTGTTGGTAAATACTATTTGACAATTAGCTGGATACAAAGTTAAGGGGTCAAACTGAATACATACTGCGTCGTTATCGCCATTTCTAGTAATGATGAACGTAATACTAGATATCCCGCTGACTGGCACCCGATCACTGGCAGTTACAAACTCCAGCAACAGGCTTTTTTTCTTCTGGGAGTACCCCTGGACGATTTCCCAAAAATCTTTAATGAATTTCTGGTTCGGATCGAACCCCTCATATACAACATGTTCCTGAAGCTCATCTATGTTAATTTCTTGAAACCCTTCAATAACTCGCTTCAGAGCTTCGGGGCTAAAGACTGAAAGAGCCGTCCGGTCAAGGCACGTGTAAAAGCCACGCGCGAAAGCTTCGTATTGGGGACGAACGGACTTATCCGTAAGCCAAAATATATAGTCTGTGACGAATTGCTGTCTGTTGAAATTTGTCACTAAAGGCGCATCTTCTGGTTGAGGTGAGGGCGCGCATCGTTCTCGTGGTTTGGATGAAGAGCCTTTAAGTATGCCTGATATGTGGCCTTCGCGGCGATTAGCCGAACGAAGATCACCTCGTATGTCTAGCGCCAGCATCTCGACATCTGATGAGCCAGAAGCTTCTCCATGGGTAATATCTGGTGGGTTAGCATATGATTTGGGCTCCATCATATCCCATGTCACGTTTCGTTCTGTAGGAGGCCATGGATCATTTCGTCCCACCTTCGTCATGTCAACAGAAACGACCTTTCCATACAGATCGTAACTAAACTCATAAGTCCGCATGAAAATCTCACCGACATCGCCATCGTTCCAGAGAAGCATTTGATCAAGTCCTCGTGCAAGGCTCTCCCAACCATTTCGGATGTGATCGAGTGCAGTCACCTTCTGGTCAAGTAACTTCATGTAGAGGGCAATCGGGAAGTTCAGTGGCAGAGTAAGGCCATTATAAATAGCAAGAGATACTAGGATTCCGACCAATTCAAACTTGTAAAGCATCTCGAAGGAGCAAACCCGAAACCAGGAGGTATTGTTTTCGCTATTGAAGGAAAACATTCCATATTTAGGATCCAACACTTCGGCCAAAGCTAAGCGAAAAAACTCTTGCTGGACGCCGCCGTGATCAACCCCCTCTTCGCCATAATCAAGTCCCATTTGAACCCGAAGCGGTCGCATGATTTCCTGCTTTTCTCGTCTCCAGAGTTGATCAAAAGCGTCAACTAATAGATTGTCCCGCCGAATGACAAGAACCAGAAATTTTGAAATTGATGCTCTCATTCTCCCGCCTAAATCAAAAGCTGCATCATTCATTGCACGACCACTTATAACTGTTCTATGGATGTGTTGTGAAGTGGCTGCCGCAGACCCAAATGATTTTGACATCGTGGACAGATTTAGCGAGCGAAAATATGTCACCAATGATGATGGATGAAACATGAACGAACATGATAGTATATGGATCGTGCGGTTATTAGGTGTGAATCCCAGCCATTGACTTGGCATTTCCAGGGGGTCCATTCGATCAAAAAGAAATAAAACATGAAAATCTTCTGGCACCAAGCATAGCCTGGTTTTGTTCTCGTACATGAATGACAAGAGCTGCAACGCACTTCCAGCAGCGCTGGACTTCGTTAACTCCGGTTCACCATCCCATTCTTTTGAAAGTACGGTTTTAAGCCATTCAACCGCTAGCATTGGAATAGTAATTTGACGATCATCATTGCAAGGTCCAGTCGATAACAATGGCTCATAGGACGAAGATATGCAAGGAGTCATGTATGTTATAATCAGATCTAATGGACTGAGCTGCTCCGGTTTGTTTGCATTTTGAATACAAGACGACCTGAGTTTCGAAATTTCGTAGATTGCATGGCGAGCAGAGATAACTCGCGCCAGACGACACATTAACCGAAGCGCTAGATCGTGCCCAAATTTATCTGTAGCTTCGGTTAGTAAACTTTTGGTTGCATCAGAATGCTTTCGAATCTCGCGGTCTGGTAAAATAATACCCGCCGAGCGCGCCTGACGAAATTCTTGCCATACATGAGGCTCTAATGCAGGAATGGAGCTAGTTAATGCAAACAAAGTAACACCGGTAATGAATATAGCATCAGAGTCAGGAATGTGATTTTGGGAATGCGTGGCATTGCTGGTATGCTTCGACTGGCTAAAAGTTGAAGAATGCCAGACAAAGCGCCTCTGATCTTTTGAGGAACTGGAAAATTCTTTGGAAGGAACAAATAGCTTTTCTAAACACACCCAAAGGCTCGTTAATGTTACCTCCCAAGGACAAAGGCGATGAAGTTTTCGAAAGAGGACGTCCATGCCCTGTGTATCGATGTAAGAAGCCGAAATGTTGCTATCTCCAAGTCTAGGTTTTCGAAACGGGTTAAACGAATGAAGAAGTTGACTTGGACTGCTAAGAACAAAAAACAAGCTCTGTGTAATAAAAGGAAATATCTGACGTTGAATGGGAGTGGCGAATTGCCATTTCCAAGGCTCCGCATAGCCTCTTGTTTCCATCAAATACATTTCATCTTTCCAATCTTGCTCATCTTCTCCAGTATCAAACATCATTTCTTCCAAACAGTCAATTATATCATTAGAGAGAGTGGAAAGACTCTCAACCTGCGATTCTAACCCATGGCCAGGTGAGGAGTTGTTCAGTACCTTTTCAGTATTGTTAGGAGCGATTGATAAACAAGTAGGATTTCGTGGTAAAAGAACATCGTCAGTGTCATAAAATTGGTAGGTCAGTTTATTATCAAGCTGAGCAGGAAACGCAAGTTTCAAAGGATTTTCTTTGTTTTTGGGCTGCTTCTTAATATCCCGTTCCAGGACCACATCTTCGTATTCGGGTTGAGTTGGCAGAGGTGAAGAAATACTTAAGGGAGACACCATTTGCGAGATCTTTGAAGCCACAGTAAAGGTAGGTTTCTGGTCAATTGTTGGATTATCATCAGAATTAGTTCCCAAGAAGGGTTTGCCGTGACCACCTTTCGCCGACCTAAGTGGGGAAATTACTGCGGAAATCGGAGTTGAAGTTGATGTGTCCATCCCTATTCTGCTACACGAGTAGATTGTCGAGCAAGGCTCATTTGATTTTGGCGGTTTATTCCCCCTTCGTATATTCAACTCACAGGATCGGTCATGGCGTGATTTATGTGGTACATTTTGTTCTTTCCATTCTGGCGATCCTCTCTCACATGTGCGTGCAGCTTTTTTCATAGGTAGGCACTCCATCATTCGAACAGGCAGGGTATCGAACAGATTCTGAGAAATTGACCTTGGGTCTTTTCGGCCTTTTGGACGCGGGATTTTTCCATAAGGCTGATCTAAATAGCCCTTTGAATGAGTAGGTTCTATCAGAGGCGAAGACGAATTCTCATGGTTCTCGACCGTAGAACATCTCGTGGGTAGGCTCGAAGAGTTTCTGTGATGATCATTTCCAGGAGAAACTATCGACTTTGAAACGAAATGGGGGCCAGTTGTCAGGCGCGCATTCTTGTGCGTGAAGCATTCCGAGTCGGCTTCTACAAGGTTGGGGCAAAGACCATTTTCTGGGTTGCTTTGACTAGACAGATAACAAGCGAGCGTTCGCGCAGTTAGATCGGTATAATTTCGGAACGGAGCTGTTGAGGTTCTTTTCCTATAGCTGCAACAAGTTGGTGTATTACAGTCAGGCGTTTGGCATCCGTAAAGAAGCTGGCGTTTATACCTAGACAAAAGATGCATCAGCCTCAGAAACAGCTTAACTCCGCAAATATCCGAACTGGAACCATGTCATACTTTCTCACAAGCAGATAGAAATTACGCTGGCGTTCCTCTCTGTGCCGCAAGAAAATTCGAGCAGGGTCCTTAACCGCAACGGTGCTCTTAATTATAACGTCTGGTGCATCACGAGGGAGCTTTGAGAAGTAGCCAGCACTTGTATCGTCTCGGGCTTCGCTAGGCCCATAGCGAGCCAGGTGCCCAGTGTCACTCTGTAGTCCAATCATACTGAATCAACGTAATGCAAGGCCAAAGGCCCTGGATGAACTACCATTGCGAGCGACTGCTGTCAGCTATTCATTATAGGTTGGCGTTCCTCGCCGACTGGGCACCCTGATCAGGCCGCGGGTCGGCGTTATAATATTCCGAATAACGTAATTCCCAACCAGCAGCCAATTTTTGCACTCGCAGAAGGTACTCCGTAACCAATCTAGATTATGAACGATTAGCTCTCTTATAATAGGGAAGCATTAGAAATAGTAATCAAACACATTAAGTATAAAGCCAGTGCACATCAACCAAGCAGAGACATCGTTTGGTGGTTGATTATATAATCTGACGGCTAGCCAGTTAGTCCAAGTTAGGATAGGGCTCCGCTCGGCCACCAAAACGTCATTTTTTCGCCGCAAATTCAAGCCGATAAACTGATAAACCTCAAGAGACGCGAGGACGACTTTCGTTGCCTTCCACTTCGACTCATTTTTTTTTATCACGAGTTGGCTTCTATTGCTGTTGCCCTGCTTATCATCACTATTTCCATCTTCCCTAGCCTTTCTCAATATGCCACCTCCTCAGGATAGCGTCGGCGCTCCAAGCACCCACCCATTCACATGTAACACCTGTCAGGTAGCGTTTCGAGGGAGTGATGCCCAGAGAGCCCATATGCGTGGTGACTGGCAGTAAGACTCTATACCTCGTCTTCTCTTTTCTCCGTCTGACGCCTGCCTGAAGCCGATATAATCTCAAGCGCCGGGTGGCGTCCCTCCCACCGTTGTCTTCAGAAACGTTTGCAGATAAGGTCCTTACTGTTCAGGCATCTAACTCTGCAGCGGCTGCTAGAGCCACTTTTGAACGAACTTGCGCAGCCTGCCAGAAGACATATTTCAGCGAAAATGCTTTTATAAATCATATGGGTAGCCAAAAGCACCGACTCAAGGAGGCTATCTCCAAGAAAAACGGGACATTGTTAGATGACTCGGCGTCCGTGGTTAGCGGAACCTTTTCTATGGGGGAGCCAATAAACGCTCCCACTAATGTGATTTCTCCCGAGACTATCGTTGAAGAGGAATTTTCAACCATCATCGAAGGCATGAAAGACACTTCCTTAGATGTGGAAGACCCTGTACTAGGAAGGACTCACAGACCCAGTCAATCGCAGGTCAACGATCGTCGTCACCCTTCTATTGCAAATGAAATGGCAATATCTCGATGTCTTTTCTGCAATTGCGATTCCTCCGATATCCACGAAAGTATATCGCACATGCACAAATCACATGGGATGTTCATACCAGAGCAAGATTACTTGGTGGATTTAACTGGTCTGATTAAATACCTCCAAGCAAAAGTTATCCAAAATAATGAGTGCTTGTACTGTCATAAGTTAAAATCCACAGTGCCCGGAATTCAAACGCATATGAGAGACAAGGGTCATTGTATGATTGCCTTTGAGTCCGAAGAAGAGATGATAGAAATTGGTCAATTTTATGACTTTACCGGTACATATTCGGATGATGAAGATGAGCCTTTGGAGAGAAGAGCCGGCCTTCCTAATGGTGCTACCGGAGAAGATGACGGCTGGGAAACAGACACTTCTGTCTCTTCAGTTGACTCAGCGGAACTTGGTGCAATGCCTATCGACGATCATTCACATCTATACTCCAAACTTTCGAAACATAAACATCACTCGAACGAGCCCCGCTCTCATCGTTCTGTAGATGGCTTCCACTCCCATGCACACGAGCATTCTCGAGCTGTTTTCTATTCTGATTTTGAGCTACATTTACCGTCTGGACGTACGGCCGGTCATCGTTCGCTCGCCAAATACTACAAACAGAATCTTCAACACCACCCACCTCCGGCAGAACAAACACGCCAGAAAGCCATAGAAGCAGGACCCGCTGATAATGAGGAAGAAGAATCTACCAATTCCCACAATAGCAATAGAGCACTAGTCTCTAGAGCGAACGGCGGTATTGGTATGCTTGGTGCAACTGCGAGTCAGAAACGAGAGGTTCGGGCCGCAGAAGTCAGGGATCGCAAGCGAGAAAAGAGATCCATGCGTGACTTTCAGTGGTCTATTTCGAAAAGAAGTAATCACCAAAAACACTTTAGAGTAAGTTTAGGATTTCCTATCCTCTTGTTACTCTCGTCATATTGGATTCTACGCGCGGATAACTGACAGTTCAATTTTAGGACCCTCTTCTGCAGTGAACACGACACAGCTTGAGTCTTCCCCTGACTAAACAAGGCTCAGGTCTCTGTACTGGTATCTCGTTGATTTTCAACGATATATTCTCCCATTTTCGCATCAAGTAGGCGTTAAGCATGACTCCGTTATCTCCTAACCACGAAATATCACCTTTCCCTTTGACCTTTAGAGCTAGAAGGCCTAACATTGAATCCGATTTTATTCTCATAAGTAAATATTCTGCACAAACATATCTTTAAACATGTCTTTATGACCTTTCTTAACAAATGGCCGTGGAGAAACATGTGGTTCTCCCAAACCATCTTCTATGTTGCAGTACAAGAATACTGAAAGCGGTGTAGGTTTATAGCGTCATAAGGTACAAAATAAAATAAATTATCCAAATTATAAAGAAATTAATTGCAAGGCTTAGGGAATGTGAGCATGTATCAAGCATTCGTAAACATTTCGTAGATACATCAGGAGAGATTATATAGCAATGCGGAATTTCGAGAAAACAGGAGCCACCCATTCAGATGACCTTCCTACAAATGCGCTCTGAGTTCTGGATTTAAGGCAGGCTTAGTCCATCGTTCCCAGGCTTCCATACAAACGCTGCCTCTTTCATTCAGATCCTTGTTCATTGGGATTTGGCGTGTCCACGACATCAGAGTTTCGTAGGCATTCCCATCATATTGCCCGATTGCTGAGCACAGACTAGCGTCTGTAAAGTCCCATGCATCCGTTAACGCAATCGCATCGGGAATCAGATCATCTAGTAACTCGTTTGTACAGACAGTTATATCTGAAAGCTGGGCCTGAGTGAGATAGCCATTTTCTATAAAAGAGATGGCATCGTAGGATTGTGGATGGATGATTGTTGTTAGAGCAAAAATCGAGCAGAGTCTAGAGAGTGCGATGTTGACGGCGGGGTCGCTGATTTGGGAGACTGCTTGAATAAATTCTTGAAGAATAAGGAGTTCCATATACGCCCGCGCTGCAGCAATTATGCCCATCATATTTTGGTTCCACGCTTGGGCAGCCGTGAGCCCACCGTGACGTTCAGCAGCCTCGAGACTGGTATCACATTTGAATAAGAGTCGAAATGCGCGATGTTTGAAGATCGAATGCTGAACGCTGGGGTTAAGGAACTCCTTCCCACTTGCATTGCAACGGTGTATTTCCGACCTTGCTCCATAGAGCTTGAAGGCCTCATGGAGATGGCTCATACGGCTGTCGATCTGTTTTCCAGCCTTGAGCAATTTGAAGCATTTGAGCAAATAGCGGCCGACTTGTTGGTACATAACATAGTTTTCGCCCTCAAAAGTAGCCGGAGCTGTTGCTTCTGCCACAATTGTAGGGAGACCACTAGTCAAAACATAGCCATGACCTCCACAGCATTTTCTTGCATCTTCTGCTCCGTCTGCAGCGATTTGGGTATTCCACGCCTTAAGTCCTGCAAGGAGCATATGATAGTACCCTAAGGAAGCAAAGTCGTTTTGTTCTGCAACGTTCTTGAGGCTCATGTATAACCCATCTAGGGTTGGAGAGGTGAAAAGGATTGCATACGCTCTTGCAAGCAAGGTAAAGAGGCGGAAATTCTGTGACCGGTAGTGAATGATCGCTGTTTCTGAGCCATCCTCAGTTCCTTCACCGTTTGGACCAAGTCCCTGTTCACGCACCACCGAAAAGCGGGTTGCAATAGTGACTGCCTGAGCAAGTTTGAATGCAGAGCCATGTGCAATTGTGGCACGCGCGTAAAGCATTGTAAGATAAGCAAATTTGTCATGTTTTGGTTTATTGTATGTGCCATCTCGTTCCACACTAGCATGTCGCATCAATAAACCACTTCTCGGGATTCGAGCATTGCGAAATATAGCATAGCCGTTAGTAGTGCCATTATAACCCATCTTCGGGCCTAGATCGCCAAGTTCCACACCAGGCATAGGGGAGAAGTCTTCTAAGTCTCGCAGCTGAACTATGAACGGATGTACACCATAGTCGGTCTCTTTGATTATTAGGCGAGCCATTAATATCACATGAGTACAAGAAGATGCCATGGCACCAGGCCAGAACTTGGCGGACGTAAAGGTGGGAGAATTCACAACAAACTCATCAGTCAGCAAATCAAAAGTCGCAGTGGTCTCGATGCCCCGCACAAAGGTACCGCGTGCCAACTCTGTCTGGCAATAAGCTCCATTAATCTTCCCTAATTTTGCGAGTGGAAGCCAATATGCGATTTGTTCCGGGGTGCCTTGTTCTTCAATTGTGGGAATAAACATCATATAATGGAGGCCGTATGGGGTGCAGTTACTAAGGGTATAATGCTGGTCCATTCCGGAGAAGAAGTCATGATTATGCAATATTCCGTCAACGAAGGAGGCGGTTCCGAGTCTTACTCCCTCACGATAGACTCCCTCGCGACTCACATCGGCATATGCTCGAGGAAGCTTGGTTTGGTCTGCTGTACCGGTAGCACTCTCAACTCGCTGAAAGGCGTCTCTGCGTCTCTGTACTGTCTCCTCACTAAACAACATTATCAGAAGGCGATAAAAATCGGGACAGGGGGTTTCTGGATCCAATACTTTTTATAAATGACACACGTCAGCTTATAGGGGTCGAAGGAGGCGCTTGCTCGTGCCTTGGCCATGAGCAAGGTCTGCTTGTTAAGCGGAGCCATAGCGACTGTTCTAGGAATGATCAGCTTTCCAACATTATGTACGGTTCTATAAATGGCAGTCTTACCAGGAAAACACGCGGCTCTAAGAAGCACCTCTTCTAAAACGTCGCAATGGGTAAGGATATCGTGAGAAGAGAAATGTAATGTAGCAACTTACGGCCCTGTGGCAACTACGACATGACCTCCAGTCAAGGAAAGAAGGCCCTTTTAAACTTCACGGGAGAAATAAAAAACGAAAGGGAACAGTGGAAAGTACGTGTACCCGAATGCGTTCAGCTCCCTTGGCTCATGCCAGGGCATCACATAAAGGCAAATGTCAGTGCCGGCACACCGGCACGTCCCCCCACGAAAAACATCCGAGCCGTCTAGTTTTGTTTTGAGTTCCCTAAAGGCGATGCTGTACAAAGCGGGTAAAGCGATTGGGGGGATTGCGCCATGTCGGATATCCACCGCAGTTAGTATGACGCCGAATAGTGAATTCCCGCTTCCAGGCTTTGATAGCCTTACATGATACGTTCACGGACATGAATCGCATGGCACAACACGGATTCATCTATTGACGTGCATGAAAGGAAACACTAGGGGTCCAACTCCCCATGAACCCCGGTAAATATGGTGCACCTGCAGCATATGGATTATCTCATCGGCGCATGTATCTCAGGATACACAGTACAGCCAGGGTATCATAACGTAGGTGACACTGTTCGCATAGATCCGCTACGGACCGCAACTCTCCCACAAAAAAAACAAACGGTTAGTAAGATAAGAGTTGGGCTCCATCTAGCAATGCTTGATTCTGAATTCAAGACAAAACTAAATCCGGGTCTAAAAAAAACACCCCAATGATCACACAACACGATGCTTTGGCTCCCCGCTCACTAGAAAGGCGGAAGGGCGCAGTCAGGCCAATTGGCATGACGCCCATAGCTTCCAAGAAGAGGGGCAAATCCGAATCGCCAACATACCCGTCTATCAATCAAGCGCCAACGTAAGTCAATGTGCCTTGAACCTGGATAGCCCATGCAGGTCTGCAGGTGGGTGGAATGCCATGGGTTGGCGCAGGGACGATTACAGGCGACGTCTGACCATCCATCGGGGACCCCAAGGTAACTAATTATTCACGTGATTAACTAGCTAGGCGACAACGGGCGGCGGCAGCGGGTGCGTCGTCTGGATGGGCGGGCACAGTGTCGGCTGAGCCTTGCATGTCGCCCTAAGGCCTGGATGCGCCTCGCCGTCGATTTGTCGGAGTTAATGCTGGGTGTCCGGGTCTAAAGCGGCAGTGAGCATCACGAACTTCCGGCGCCAGAATTGCTGATCAGGCTCCTTGACCGAGGCGCGAATCAAATCGGAAGCTGCAGACTCCTTCCGACAGGCTAGTTTCGGCAAAACCGCTCTAGAGGCGTGGAATTGATTTAGGGTGGCAGGTGAGTGGTTTGTATGACAGACTTGGAATTCCATATTTGACATCTTTTGATGCTCAGCGAAGGGTGCTTAAGTAGTTATGTGTGTATGGACCCTATAGACAATCTCAGCCTGGGAGACTTCCGAAAAATCAAAAGAGCCATAATTCCCAGGCTCGCAACGCAGTGGCTAGATTGTTGATGCCCGTGATTCGAAGATGTCGTTCGTGTCTGTAGGCCTCCGTGCGTATGCCGAGCTGCAGCATGTAATACCCGTACATACGGTCAAACACAGATGTGGCTTAAGTGGGTTCGTGAACTAACTAAATAGCTAGTCGTCGCCATCGACATGTGAGCGCAAAGTAAGCAGGCGATATAGCAAACAACATGCACGATCTTTCTAGTACCAAAAGCAATTCACGGGTCGCTGTCGAAGACCCCGCAATTGGGTTCCTAGAGCCATTTCCTTGATTTGCTCTCATCATTCGTGCGAATATGCAAGCCGAAAACTGTCAAAATATGCCGATTACAGGCTAGGCGACCTTGGCGGGCTGCGAACTGTATCCAATTGGGCTTTGCCAGATGTAAAACCATGTTTCTGATATCCGCTTGTCTCGAGAAATAATGAGCCTGGTGTGGACATCGCAAGAATATTGACTTTTGTATTCGCATGGCGAGCTTGTAGGCTGGAACCTATGGCCTCGTTGCGGCCGTTTGAGTTGAAATCACCGTAGTTCCTAAACGGTTCTTACCGCTCTTCAAAAATTCATATCCACTTTCCCTTGGCTACTAACATATCAATTTTCTAGAATAAACTAAGCTGAACCATGGTGCTTGGTATTTGATGTACGGAGTATTGACATCAGAAGCGGGATATCAGTTGAAAGCACGGTCCTTGAAGAGACACAGGCGCAGGAGCTCCCGCGTGTGGCATCCAACCAGAAAAGCCGGTCCAAAAGCGTCATCCCAAGAACCGGGAAAGGTGTGGGCCCAAAAAGGCTCGGATAGGCCGACGTGTGAAGATTGGCGCTTTGGATACGCAATCATATTTTGGCTTCTGTGCTGCACCCAAAAGTATATTTCAGCATGTTCAGGCGACCGCGAAACCGATGAGCAAAAACAGTTCTATTCGATGGTACTTCTCGGGCCAATGAACTGGATCATGTGCACTCAAAGATCGCCAGTTGCTCAGGACAGAGCTGACAAGCGCTGACTGGCTACATTCAAGGCTGTGATGAGGGGAAATTCCCACCACAAGTACCAGGACCCCCTGTGACCCAGATACCATGCATAATGATTTCCTACCACAGATTGGGAGAACGTTTGTGGGAAATTAATTTGCAGCTTATCTCAAGGGACACAGGATATTCACAAACATCGCGCAGTTCATTTCAGATCGGCACCCCCCATCGGATGCTGTTTCCAAAACATCGATTGGCTTGATACCGGGTTTCTTTATCACGGAGGTAAATGATCCGCCATGTAGATTTCAGCTAACACTGCCCAGCAACTCACTGGAGCGTCACCAGTCCGGCTATCTTAGTCCCGGGATTTTTTGCAGGCTAAGTATCATGTATTGGGGCCATGAGAGCCTCAGAGTGTATCCAAGATTGAACTGAGCTACATAGTTTCTCGTATTGGAGTGTTCGTTCGTAAGGGGGACGACTGGAGTCCGGGAAGCACTTGGCCTAGAACTGGCCGGATATCTGAGCTTCAAGGCAATGTCGGCGTTTTGAGCCTTCAGAACGGGGAACTTTCTTCGTTAGGGACATGGATGAGCCCGTATAGGAGGTCCACGGTATTGAAGGTAGCAAGATGGCATCAAGACGGTCAGCTCCCTGGACGGTGTGACAAGCCGCCAGGCGGATATAGGTGTTGAAGGCGTCGACTGGGGCAAGGAGAGCTAACAGATGGATGGATATGAGGACGATGGGTGCTCACAACAGCCTTCGACGGTGATGAACGTGAAGAATGAACTGTCGAGGGTGAGGCTCCGGGGTGCAAAATGCTGATCGGCAGTGGCGGTACCTGCACTATGGGGAACGTAGTGTGGCTGCGGGTAACTAACGAAGTTTCACGAGCCTCCTGAGGTCGTCATTTGGTACGTCACCCTCGACAAAAATAGAACAGCGCTCTCTTTGCCTGAGACGAGATAACGAGATAACGATCCGTACATGCGAGCTGAACTTCGAAACGCCTAGGATCTAAGCCCTGACGCGGCAAACTCCCCGTGAAACACACCAGTTTCGCCATTCCTTTAACCCGCTCCGAAGCTCCCTTTGGGCTCAGATTCGTTCCTCGTTGGCGGCCAGAGCGCAAACTCGGATAGGCAACAACGCGAGACACCTTCAGAGCTTCAAAGATGCTCGATGAAAACTTGCCAGGTGAGTGAATTCATTTCTACTGGTGATGTAGTATAGTTGCTGACTAGAGCTTGCCGTATTTTAGTCTTTTACGTCAAGCCTTCTACAGAGAGGCCCAGATACCAATCCACCTACTATTTCAGCCAGGGAGGTGAGGAGCGAAAGCCCGCGTATTCCGTACGCCACCTTGATCCGGCTCTACAAACATCAAAGAACAAATATGCTGTAGCCCTCTACGATTCCTTTTGCCCTGATGTGCTCTACGCCGAGACCCTCCTTGTTCCTAAATGGACGCAGCCCTCGTTATCACAGGAAGCAATTCGCCAAAACGGAGGAATTCCCCCTCCTCCAGAGCCGATTCTTCCCACTGAGTTTATTATCCAGTTATACAATCCAGATCAGCAGGTATTAGTCCGCTATAAGCCCAAATCCTGGAACTCTCCAGCATCCTGGGTTTTCGAAATGCCACAGCAGACATTTCGTCGGCCATCAGGTTCAACACTGGACCGTACCCAAAATGACCCAGTAGCACTAGATATCACACCGAGACTCAGATTCAACTGGCAGAAAGACGGAAAATTTTCCAAGGACCTCACATGCTACCTGCTGGGTAAGACCGTGGATCTTAATGATTCTAGAAAACGAAGCAAGGAGCCTGATATCACTATTTCAATCTTCAAAGGCCTTAAAGAGATCACTCTTTATGAACCGAACCTATGCCGAGTAGAGATGGAGGATTACAAAGGCCTCGAAGTCGTCCTGTTACTAGGAGCAATAGTAATTCGAGATATTTATTTTGGCCACATGAAGACCTCCTTTAACATTACTAACCCCCCCGCCGGAACATTTGCGGAGCCGAAGACAAACGTGAATACTAAAGTGCCAGAAACTAATAAGCTTCCCCTGGACAACCGGAACAAAAAAACACCATCTCCCGAAGTCCCTCTCAAGCCTGCGTCCAAGCAAACGACGCTGCCACCCCGCGAGCCACGCCCACCGCCAACCGATGCTCGCAGCCAATGGGAAATCGACGCTGAAGCGAAACGTCTGAGGCAAAAGGCTGAGGCAGAAGCTCGCGAGCGCCGACAAAAAGAAAAAGAGGCCGAGAAAAGGACGAAAAAGCTACTCGAGGCGGAAGAGCGGGAAAAACGAAAAAGACAAGTACGAATAGATGAAGAAACCGAACGACTAAAGAAAATGTACGGCAAAGAGGATACACAGTCGCGTAAACAGCGAACCTACCCGAATCCACCCCCAATGCCACAGAGGCCGTCACAGCGGAATGATCGCTCTCATTCTTCATCTCCCCCTTCTCGGGTAAACTTCTTCTCGAGGCCAGGCGGAGGGTACCCTCCCACCCAGCTTTCAACCCCTCCAGGGCCCACCTCGGGATTGCGGCCACCGCAGCCTCAGCTCAAGGAGAAGCGAAGTATCTTCGGGTTCAAGCTAAATGACAACAAAGATTATGGAAGTGTTTTATCAAAGAAGCGAAGCTCTATTTTCTAACATACTTTACATATACCCCCAAGAAATTTTTCTTCTTTTAGTCTCGATTATTCAGTATCTAGCGGTGAACTGGAGCATCGAAGGAGCTCAAATTTCTTTATATATTTTTGGCGTTTGTCATGGTGATCGTGTGATTTATCTAGTTCCCCAATAAGACCTTCAGGATAGCAACATTTAGTATCCTCGTGTCACTCGAGATATCGGATATTGTCGCCATCTACCTATCCATCTCAGGTAGATGAACCTTGCCCCTCCTTAGAATCCAGTCAGCAGTTGACCCCAGCTCGCTTTAGATGTCATCGACTAGCGACCACTAAGTAACCCATAACATAACTGCTTGCATTCCCTCCCTGGCTTTGTGAATTTCTAATTTCCTTATTCTTAGCAGAGGAAAAACGCTGATCTGGTTGAATTCATTCAGTATGGGAAGAGAAAAAAGACTACGGATATGATGCATCGCGATGACATTCATGGCTAGGTGGCTGAGCTGGATGTGCAAGTTCTGGATCAAGTGACCACGAGAGTACGAGCACGGAGAAATCCATTCTGCCTTATTCCGCGGCAGTTGTAGTCGTAGCTCCGTATTTGTTATTCTATCCAACAGGGAGAGGCACAGGCTATCATCCAGAACATAAGCGTATTTCCAGCGGATTGAAACCCACATGGGACGCTAAAATTATCTGCACATGGCTGGATCCCCGCCTATAACAAGATAAGCCGGGGATGGCACCAAGCGAACAAGAGAAAAAGAAAACAAAAAAACAAAAAAAACCGGAATTCAAAGCAAAGACCGCGGACTTACCATGCTGGTTTGTACAGCAGAGCCCCATACACACGTAGCTCCCATGTAGTGCCGAGGCAGCTCATGTCCAACTGATACGAGGAATACCTGCATTAGCCGTCTGCTCCGGATGTTCCGTGCGTACGGACCACTGAGTTCATACATGCGCGTACATTTAAAAAGGAAAATGAAAGAAACCGAAAAAAAAGAAAAAAAGAAAAAAAAGAAAAAAAAAAAGAATGGAGAGATGTGCGTACTCCGTATGTATGGAGGAACTAATGGAGTGTGTGCTGGAGATAGAAGCAACGCACCTTGGCCGTCAGCTATGTTGCGCATACATACATACAGCCTGATATTTTTCTTGTATGCCAACTCGGATGTGAAACCGGGCTGTCTAATCGAAGACGTAACAGGTTATCGGAGTAGGCTTATCATACAAGGCAGACTTCTAATCAAGTACTTTCCAATGTCCTCCCCTTACCTCCAATTATCTGACGATTCTAGCTGCTTTCACAAACTCATACGACCCGATGCACGAGACCCAATCTTGCGCCCTTTTGCGTATATCTTTTCCATTTAGATTGACTAATACTCCGTACGTATATCGCGTAGTCAGGCAAGCCACATAGATGAGCAACGGCACGCCGGTTTGGTTCTTGGTGCATACTTCTTCCAATGACTACCCGATCGATAGGAGTACTCCGGTAAGAATGACAAATGGTAGCTAAATGAAAGGCAAACGAATTGAAAGGTAGTAGATCAATGTGATTACTTTTTGAAAGATTGGTATCTGAATACTTATGAGCTGCCTACAGCTGATGAACTTCATAGATATATGTGGACGAAATCGCCCATTCATAAGCTCAAAAAGGATTTAAAGTGACTGTAGTTTGGGTATTATTGAATAGAGAAAAAGAGGTGCGTAAACAGTCAGTATCAGATTCTTCAACTGAATAATGATATTGAGGGTATTGAGTACAGAATGTGCAACGTATTTGACGGCCCGAATTATGGATGTGATAGAAAAGCCAGCTCTAGTATAACAACATCAAATGTAAAATCGTAACCGATTGGGTATAATTTTGGAAATGCAGAGTCATTATGGAACTCTTAAATCTTGATTCCAACTCAAGTTGTGAAATAACATCAACATTAAATATGCAGATATTCACAAGCTTGTAAAAATAGGTAGGTTGTATCAGCAATTGTCAGCTCTACTTAACAAATGATGTCCCATAGAAGTCAAAGATACGTTTCAGAGATCTCATTTCTATCTAAGAAGAGTAAATGTGGAAGGACGACTGCGTTGCACTTCGATGTTGAAAGGGGAAAACGTGTCTGGCACGTGATCCATGCCGAGGCCCAGGGGCTTGGGATTTTTGATTGTCAACTTGATAAGAACTGAAATACACAGTTCTTATTATGTACATGGATTCTTAAGCCTGGGATAAATCATATCCGAAGCAGGCTTCGAAAATTACAGGATAGCTTCAGGCACAATGCCAGAGCAGGAAACCCTTTAAGACCCTCCCCCTCGGCTCCACGCGACACGGCGACCAGCGATATATTCTCATGACCAAACGGGCCACCCCACTGGCCTGACGCAGAAGCAAGCACAGTGCTTGAGCCATGTATGTACGGAGGACGTACATACATCCGAGGCACGGCCTTGTCACACGGGAGTAACGCCGCAGCTACTTCGAACGGTCTCGCCCATCTCCTGGCCCAACGGAGCAAACGCCTCACAATGAACGGGCACGGGGGAGAGAGAGGGCTTCTCTGGCATTTGATTTTTTCCTCGCGAACCCAACCGAACAATGCATGAACATGCAAGCTAAGTGAGTTAACTAACTACCGCCTTGGCATCAACTCACTCCGTCTCCGTCTCGCATAGCGTCAAGGCCTTAGTTTACCTACGTTTCTTACAACCTGCACGGCCTTAATATCCTCCATCCGCTTCTCAAGGCGCAGGCTGATCCGTTTCAAGACGCTTGGACTGCATGTCAAAGCGCCTTCGTTGTACTGAAACTAGTTCGGTGCAAATTTAAACTCGATATGCACGCTGTTGTCATCGTGACTACGGGGCGCTTCCAATCAGGCCCAATGGGACTTGGACTGCCTAGAAACGTGCTGCAGCATAGGAATGACCTAGAAGATGCCATTGAGCTACCGCGGCCAACATGACCGTAGGCCGCTATTTTGTTCCCTATCCATGATATATACTCCTATTAACGAATCATATGTGCAGTATCAGCTGTTCTCAACTTTATATTTAACCCTATTACGTTTGTATTATGACGGATTGAATATTTGAGAAGCACTTGTATGTATTAATGTTTCCAGCACAGTTGATCTTGGTTCACAATCCTATCGGAGTATAGATCAACCTGGCTATGGATAGTTTCCTGCCTATGCTAATGCTGTCATACTTCAATATCCTTTAGAGAGATAGGCGCTCTTTATTGATATGCGTCTTAAAACCAAAATTTCGCCCTAAATGTGCATATCCAGAGCGACAGCAATCATATGGACTGGGTATCTATAACAAATTTCTCAAAGCAGAATTGGCTCCGATCAACATTTACTGTGCAATTGAATTGCCTTATTACGGCAAATCCATCGCCGTAACGAGATTGTAGAGACTGGTCGTATTCTAGACGACTGCACCTAAATGAGGCTTGGGTTAAGCAGGACCAAAAATGCCCATTAAAACTATCTTGTACTCCATATAGGTTCCTCTACGGAGTATAACTACTGCCCAATTAGTTATAGGCTATGCGAATCATTGGATTGATATAGGGTCTTAATTTGCTTAGAGAATATGCTTAAACAAGAAGCTATATTTTCTGGAGTACTCTGTATCTGTAAAATAAATGCTCGTTGAGTCAATATTTCACTTCTTCGTCTAGCACTTCATATAACTACGGAGTAGTTCTAGGGGGCTTCCTTAAGTAGCAGCCTAGTTAGTGCCGCCCCAAGCCTAACTAGAAGACCTCTAAACATCAGGACCTTGGCCTCGAAGTCTCAGGCGCTGAGGATACCCCTTGGTCAAAGGTACGTACACGCCATGATGATGCTATGCGTATTTCAATTTCGCTACTCCACATTCCTTCTTTCCATTCGCGGCCTTTTCGCCGAAAACAAGGGGTGACTGCTTGGAAATTTGGAGCGCGATTGGCTCTCAAATTTTCGACCTGCGGATTCCGCGAACGAACCGAGCATGTAGCGGTGGGAGGTAGCGGAAGCGTTACCTTGAGGTGAGTCAGCCTTTAATTCGCTATATTTTAATTCTCACAACTGAAGTGCATTTTTATTTCTAGGGTTTTACAGCCCGTGGATTCATCCGCAAGCAATTCGCGAGTCCTTGTGTACCTCCCGCCCGGTCCGATATTTAAATCGCCTCAGCAAAGGGCACCATATATATTTGATGTTAATGCTCAGGCTGATGTAGATTCAGCTCTGCGCCTTTGCAGCGCGCGTCCTTGCACCACAGTCATTATCAATTATCGCCTCGGCAGGGATATCTCCAGCAGAGACAATTCGTCGTTCTTCAAATTTCCCACGCCCATACATGACACTCTCGCCGGATTTGACTGGATATTTAAGAACCTTTGTCCCTCCAAAGTATGCGTTTTTGGAAAACATATTGGCGGGTCATTGGCGTTGATGTTAGCACTTACGGAGCCTCGTTCTATAGCCGCGGTGGCATCGCAGGACCCAATTTGCGATTGGGTTGGCCTAGATGATTACTGTATCATAGGATCGGCCGATAAGAAAGACTTTGATACTGGCGACGCAAGGGATGATGGTGAGCATAAAAAGCGTGGCCGAAAGAAAAAGCCTACAAGGCCCGTGCCGACTGATCTGGTCCATCTTCTCCAGGCAAGGAATGAGCTTTTCTACAAACCACAGCACTTCCATGACTCCTTCGCTTCGCCGGCGCTGTTCCTTAGAACTTCTGGAAAGTATTGTCCTACTGATTTCCCAGCACTGTTGGCTGGACCAGGCCACCCCACGCCAATAATCCAACCCGCAAAGGAGGTCAATTTTTGGGTACTCACTGCCGCAATGCTGGAAGAAGCGGATACTGAAGGTGGCGACCCCGGATTTTCTACACATAATGTTCGCCGAAGGAAGGTCCTTTCACGCTGGCCTCCTGTAGGCATCGATAGAGAGTCTCATTGGCAAGGGGTAGGACATTCAGGGGAGGCATCCGACCCTATGGTTTTGCCTCATATCAGAATTTTCACCGAGTCCCACTCACTTTTAGCTGAAGAGAATGTCGAAGATCAGGATGCCGATCATCGCACTACGACGGTCGACGCGTTGGCCTCTAGGCTGGCAGCTTCAACACTAGGTTCACGGAGTCCATCACATCCTTCCCCGAATGACCGAGACCTTCCGCCGTCTGAGCCTAACGATCGCCGAGCCACGACACGAGGCTCGCTTCCCAAAATCGCCAAAATCGAAGAAGACACTGTTCTAGGAGCACAAGCTATTGAAATGATCCATCTCCTGCGTAGTGCTTGTTTTTGGGGGCGTGAGCGAGGATTGGCGGAGCAAAAAGTGCAATTGACCCGCCTTCCAGCCGCTACTCCTCCGCCTAATGTGGAATTTATGGACAATACAACGGAAAAGACTTCCCTTGGCATGACACATGTAGGTGATCATGATCTCCATGTTCCCTTGAGGGATTACAGTCTTGTAAATGAAGGCTCAACAGAGCAGGCGCCTAATACCTCCGTTGAAGAGCAGGCTGGGGAGTGGCTTCACATGATATCTGACAAAGTAGAAGGTTGTTCAGAGTAGCGACTTTGAATCTACTCTGCATGCGCGAACAACAGAGTATATCTGAAACTGGGAATTTCTGATATTTCCCAAGACAGTATTTGTTTGCAAAGTATTAGATTAAGCGACATCTATATTAAACCGCAGATATCCGGGATTTGAGGTAGAAATCCCGTTTCTTATATTTGTTTAATATAATTGCGGTTATCTATTAGTTTCAGTGGTCCAGTTTTCCTCTGCACAAATTACTCCATATCTCAACCATTCACGCCATGCAGACAGGGAAAACAAAAATAAGACTGGGGGTAACTTGTTTATATTAATAAAGAAAAAGAGAGAAAGAGAGAGAGACAATAAGAGAAGAAGAAGAGCCAAAAGAATATGATCCAGTGCAAACAGAGTACATGCATGGATAGTGCAGTGGATTTCACAATGGACATTTGTAGAACATCTGCCACCACCTAGTGAAGCAGATTATGTGACATGGCAATAATAAAAAGGAGAAAGAAAACTGTGACACCGTAAAGATACCTGCTTTGTATCATTTCATCATTCATTGGAAGGCTGTCACGCCCCGGCCCCGCCCGGAGTAGGTTGAACTGCAAGATCGGAAATAAGGATGGACACAGGCCTGTTTAGCGGAAATACGGCGCGCCGGATCATACTCGAGCATGGCGTCAAGAAGCGCGATCCCGCTTTCTTCAAGACCCGGGACGAGCTTTCGGATGTCCTCTCGCCTCCATTTTGGAAAGGAAGATTTGAAGTCGGGAAATGAAGTCACCCCAGGCCACGATCTCTCATCGGGAGTACCGCGTACTCTAGAAAGTATAGGTCAGCGTATGGACTCGAATGATCGACAATATTTCATACCTAAAGATCTTGAAGATTTCGTCAATTTCAGAGTCTCCGGGGAAAAGTGGTTTGCGAGTGCACATCTCGGCGAAGATGGTACCGACAGACCACATATCAACTCCAGTGGAATATTGCCGGCCACCCAGGAGAATTTCAGGTGCGCGATACCAAAGAGTGACCACCTGAAACAAGGTTAGTATCTGATAATTCGAGGACGGGTGCCGTCCTGACCTCATGGGTGTACGTCCGCAGGGGAACACCAAACGCTCTCGCCAGGCCAAAATCTGCCAATTTCAGATTACCGTCCCGGTCGATCAACAAGTTCTGAGGTTTCAGGTCACGATGCAGGACACGGTGGCTGTGACAATAGCGAACGCCCTCCACCAGCTGTGCCATGAATTTCTTGACCATGGCTTCCCCGAGACCTAGCCTATTCATATCAAGGTTCGATCCATCCGGCAAGGCTTTGCCTCTGCCGCCTTCGCTGATCGGAAGTGCCTCCATGTATTTTTTCAGATCCAAATCCAGGTATTCGAAAACAAGATACAGCTTGTGTCCGTCAGCGTGTACGATGTTGAATAGGCGAACGATGTTGGGGTCGTGCATCTCCTTGAGAAGCGAAATCTCGCGGATGGCCGTGCTCGGTACGCCCTCGTCTTCTGCTTCCAAGCGAATTTTCTTCAACGCGACGATACGGCCCTGGTGGCTTAAGTCTCTCGCCTTATAAACAACTCCATACGTCCCTATAGCCACCAGATCTTAGCCTATGCTTTTGTCGTGGATGTGACGCGATGCAAGAGGACGCAGAGCCAGACTCACCCTCTCCGATCTTCTCAATCTTCTGGTAGTTCTCCATTGTGTGATAATGCTATGCCCCGTAAATCCTGAAACGAGTATTAATGGTGAATTAAAGACTGTAAGCGCGCGGGCAAGTCGGGCGCGCGTGCGTGTGTGTGGGTTTGGCGCAGCGGGGACGCCGTGCAGGCGGTCGTGACAAGACAACAAAACGACAAAGAACGGCCTTAGACGCTCGACTTCTCTGAAGCAGACAGGCAGCGCGAGGTCCTGTGTTTCATGGTCCAGGCAAATCGGCGTATCTGCGGCAACCAAAGCAAAGCTCAGTCAGGCCGTCAAGCAGGCGGGAAGTTTCTTGGTGGGGGGGGGGACGGACGGGGCAGGGCTGTGTTTGGTGTTTGAGTTCGAGACGTGAACAGCGGCCGCCAAAACAAACAAAAGAGGCTTTTCCGTTGAGCTAAGCAGCCTTATCCAGGCGTGCCTGGCCTGAACTTATTAAGCGCCAAAGCGACTCCTCGTGCATTTGGCCTTTGGAGATTATATCCTCCTCAGAGCCAGGTGACTGTTCGTCTTGATGCCGGGCGCGACCCCCCTCGTTCGACTTGGCCGCTCGGGCGTGGGCTCGCCTTGACCACCTCCTGTGCGAACCGCCGCGCGCAACCTCGCCACCACACATTGGACAGCAGGTCACGGCGGCCAGGTCAATGCAGATGGCCTCCCCGCAGAAGCCCAGTCCCCATGGGCGGGCTCCGGCCATTGTGCGCGAGGTGTACAACGGATGCCGGCGTCTGGATCCCACGCAAATTGCATCGCACCCAAATGTCGTGGACTTGCAACAACGGCAAGGAGGCGAGGAGTCGGCGGACGGAACGTTCATTGAAAAACCCATCCCGTGGGCTTCCCTGGAATCTGCATTTGACGGCTTTATGGGCGACGGCTCGTGGCGGGTGGGGGTATGCTGCGGCTCAGAGGATGTCCGTGTCTATGGACTCAAGCAAGTGCCCGGTATGTCTGAATGGTGACTGACTGTTGATGCCCTCTACTAACGGCTCAAAGGTCTACAGATTATCCCATCACTTCTGCCCCCGTCCATTCAAGTTGGAATGCTATCGCGGCTGCTCCACAGAGATCTTTCCGACGAGCGGCACCAAACGAACCTTCACCTACACTACCACATATCCTACCCATCTTCACCCCTGGAATCTTTGACCACGGTTCCAGAAGCATCGGATACGCGGCAGGATGCTGAGATGAACACGGGAAAATCTTTCTTTGCGGATGATCCTGCCCGTCTGCTTCTCGCAAAAGATTCTACCGTTCATCGCCCGATGTCGATCAAGATTGCCTTGAACGGCAAACTTCGTTGGATGACCCTTGGCGGCCAGTACAACTGGACGTCAAAGGAGTACCCTCCTGGCCCCCCTCCTCCGTTTCCCTCAGACATCGCCAAACTCCTGCGTGGAATTTTCCCCCAAACGACTCCCGAGGCGGCCATTGTAAACCTATATTCCTCCAATGACACCCTGTATCCGCATCGAGACGTCAGTGAGGATTGTGACACGGGGCTAATCAGCATCAGTTTTGGGTGCGATGGGCTCTTCCTGGTAGGGCATACCGAGGAGGATGGATGCAGCGTGATCAGACTCCGGTCGGGAGATGCTGTGTACATGAGCGGTGCTTCGAGATTCGCTTGGCATGCCGTGCCTAAAATACTCCCGTCGACCTGCCCCGGGTGGCTCGCGTCGTGGCCGGGCGGTGACGATTCAAGTAAGCGGTTTCAGCAGTGGCAGGGGTGGATGGCAGGGAAGCGAGTCAATCTCAACGTCCGTCAGATGTTTCAGCACACCGCCACTGCCGCGGAGGACGCGTGATTGTTTATTATTGATTTATTGTGCTCCTCCCTGTGTGTGTGTGTGTGTCTGTTCGTGTGGGTGCACTTGAGGCGCTTATCAGATCGGACACAAGCGAGATCACTCTCTGCGACATCTCGTCCCACATATAACCCGGCATCCGGGTCGGATGCTCAAGCTGAACCCCTGCATCTTCCTGGAGTCGATCGGCATGCCGATGTTCTAGGGTGCTTTTCCTCTTTCTGGAAAAGCCAGCCATGTTCAATAATTGGGTGAACGTGGCAGAAATGTCATATGCCAGATATGATAAACTCGGTTGAATACAGGTTTTGAGACGACACAATGTGACGATGCGTCTAAATGGAGCAAAGAATTCCTTTGAGGCCAGGCATCTTGTTCACGCGGTATCGGGGACGTGCTGTTGAGTTGTCATAGCTAGTTAGATTCCCTGCTCAAAACTTGAACGTTGAATATGGTAGTGTGATCTGTAAGTCGCAATATTTGGAGAATTATTGCCTCGTTGCTTTCATCCCGGAAGGTTGACCAGGCTGGTACCCTGTGATCCATTTCCCGCCAGTTGTGATCTTCAGGGGTACATTCTTCCTCACACACGAGGTACATATCTAGACCATGCACGTTTATACTAGAGGAACGGAGTACTCCGTAGTTGATTGATACTGGCTTCTGCATTGTTGCGCCTTTTCAGCCTTCTCCATCAGCATGCAGTGGATCTTGGCTAGGATTATTAACTGGCCCGCAGTTAGTTCCTTGATACAGCCAGAGAATACTATCAAGCTACGCAGATCTGTGCGCGTCTTTCCGTGCAAGCCATATATATATTGACGTTTCATATACCCCCAACCCCTCTACCCAGTTTAAATTGTTTCACGGCCAGGCTTTTTTCTACGGGGCCAGACAATACAACTCAGAGCTTATGCCCCTCGACAGTACGGAGTACTCCTAATCCTATCCACATGCAATGCCATTGCCAGAGCCGAGCCACTATCCTGCACGGGATGCAGGTCACAAAAACGACCCCCATTTCGTCATCTGAATTGTGGCCCGTTGTATTGGAGCTAGTGACTTAGTTCGTCAGGTAGTTATACCCCGGCTCATGAACCCACATCGGGGGCGCGCGCCCAGACAGAGCGGCAAAACTGACATATGCCGGTCAGATAAGGAACAGCGGAATGATGGTGTCTGGCCTTTTGACCGGAAGCCGAAGTACCGCAAGGATTGTCTCGGGGTTCTCGCCAGTTTCGGCGAGCTGTTATGTTTTTTTGCTTTGGCTTTTCTGGTTTTTGTTTTTTTTTTGTGACCACAAAATAGACTTCCACGCAAAAAGCTTCGCCGGGTAAGGAATCCTTCTCGGCGGGAAAAAAAAAAAAAAGGAAACAAACATTGCCAATTAATAGCTAGTTAATAGTAATGATCCCAAGGCGGATTATCAAGGCACACACACCGACACACAGACACTCACACATGCATCTGCATCGACGCCGTGTCCTGGGCTGACGGCGGGGGGAACACAGTGTCGCTGTGTTTCCCCCGCAGCGCGCCCTCGTATCACAACTGACAAAGCCCGAGCCAGCTGACCAGCTGGCAGCGGTCCAGGCGGCGTTATTATTCATAACCACCAAGGCATTGTCCTTCGCTGAATATTGATCTAGCAACCTCCCAAGCCCACACATATCATGGCGGCGGCGACGGCTTCCTCCTGGCAGACCACGGCGCAGATCAAGCGCGAGTCGCTGCTGGCGTTGATCCCAGAGAAATGGCGGGTGCGGGACATCCCGCCGGCGGAACAGCAGCGCAATATCACGGGGACCTTCATGCACCGGTATCTGACGGCGCGCGAGATCGAGATCACGGAGTGTGATGCGGTGGGCGTGCTGGAGCGCACGACCACGGGGCAATGGAGCGCGGTGGAGGTGACGACGGCGTTCTGCCACCGCGCGGCGCTGGCGCATCAATTCGTACAGACACCACCTTCCCCTCCATTGGCTCTTTTCTGATTTATTTTCTGGTCTTTCTAGGTCCACTGCCTACACGAGATATTCTTCGAGGCGGCGCTTGACGATGCGCGGCGGCTCGACGCGTTCTTCGCCGAGCACCAGAGGCCCATGGGCGCCCTCCACGGGGTTCCGATCAGTCTGAAGGATCAGTTTCATGTCCGGGGGGTGGAGACGACGATGGGGTACGTGGGCTGGATCGGGAGCTTCCAGGGCGTGAAGGATGACGCGCGGGCGGGCGTGTTCGAGAGCGAGCTGGTGGGCGAGCTGCGGGCGCTGGGGGCGGTGCTGCACTGCAAGACGGCGGTGCCGGCGACGCTGATGCGCGCGGAGACGGTCAACAACATCGTCGGGTATACGTGGAACCCGGCCAACCGGCAGCTGTCGGCCGGGGGCAGCTCGGGCGGGGAGGCGGCGCTGATCGCGCTGCGCGGGTCGGCGGCCGGGTTTGGCAGCGACATTGGCGGCAGCGTCCGCATCCCCTGTGGCCACAACGGGCTGTATGGGCTCCGGCCGTCGGCCGGCAGGATTCCGTACGAAGGAGCTGCCAACTCGATGGATGGGCAGAATGCGATTCTGTCGGTGATTGGGCCCATGGCCACCAGCGCGCGCGACGTCAAGCTCCTCTTCCAGGCGGTGCTGAGCCAACGCCCTTGGCTGCATGATCCTCTGGCGCTGGAACTCCCGTGGAGGGATGAGGTCGAAACCGAGACGCTGGGACTGATCAGCCAGGCCCGCCGCGGCGGCGGGGCCTTATGCTTCGGGATCATTCACAACGACGGGGCGTGCCAGCCTGAGCCGCCGGTCGCCCGCGCGCTGCGGGTTCTGGAGCGCACGCTGACGGGCCTGGGTCACAAGGCGAGTTGCCCGATTTCTGCTACGGGGGGGGGGGAGGTGTTCGGGACGAGGATTGCAACTAAGTCATAATAATGATACTACTACTAATAATAATGTTGGCTGACGTCTGGCGTCAGCTAGGTCATCGAATGGAGCCCCCCAAGCCATGCAAGGGGAATCCAACTGGCGGTAAGTCGGGGCATAAAGAAATTTACCTGACGATATTAATATTATTCTTATTATTAGACTTCGGCGTACCGGCTCGACAACGGCGCGGACGCACGCGAGCAGTTTGGGCTATCAGGGGAAAGACTTGAGCCGTTCGAGTATGTGTTCGCCAACACGGATCCGCCGGCGGACGCGCAGGCGGTGGCGGCACTCAACGTGGCCAAACGGGCATACCAGAAGGAGTATCTGGAGTACTGGAACGCGAGCGAGGCGCTGACCGGCACGGGCCGGGCGGTGGACGGGGTGATCTGGCCGGTCGCACCGTACGCGGCGGCGCGGCGAGACGGGTGCTACTACGTCGGCTACACGAGCATCGTGAACGTGCTGGACTACAGCGCGATGGCGATTCCCGTCACGACGGCGGACGCGGCGCTGGACGCGCGCGGCGACGGGTTTGCGCCGTACACGGACGCGCACGGCGTGGTGCATGACCTTTGTGAGTACAGAATAAGAATAAGAATAAGAATAGCGACGGGACCGCTGACTGGTGGGCAGACGACCCGCAGCTGTATGACGGCACGCCGGTGGGATTGCAGCTGGTAGGCAGGCGATTCCACGAAGAAAAGCTTATCGTGCTGGCGGAATACATCAGCGAGGTGCTGCGCGGGGTGTAGAGAGCTAGTTAGTTAGTTCGTGCAATACTAACCAGCTCGATGTCTTCTGTCTCTGGACGTGCAGTCGCAGTATAGTTGATTAGTCGTGTCACTAGTAGTTTCGAGCGAGCAGCGCGACGTAGGATGGACGGGCGCTGGATGCAACCTGGCTGGCGATCAGCGAGGATTGGGGGATCCCTCGCCAGGCTGGACGACGCTCCTTCGGCTGGCCTGAGCGCGCGCCCGCACGGCCCCTGGACGCCCACGAAACAGCCACACGCAGGCAGGGCGATGCTGGCGGAGGCAGCGATGATCCCGGGCGGCGTGCTCGGCGCAGGCAACGCGGGATTAAGACGGCCGCCCAACGCCCGGGGCAGACGAATGAACTATAACTAACTAACTAGCGAGCTAGCTAGCTAGCTAACTAATTATCTGGCCATCGCACCCGCGAGTCTACGCCCGACCGTGATCCCGACGTGCCCTGTCCCGCCGCATGAGCCGACCTTGACGATGAGCGACGCGGGAGCTGCAGAGCCGGCGCGCGGCCTCGACGCCAGCCGCAGCACCCGCAGCCGCCGCAGCAGCACCCGCAGCACGGCCGACGCAGGCGACCGCAAGACGGCGACGACCACGACGACCACGACGACAGCGACGGCGACGGCGACGGCGGCGGTCAAGGACAAGGCGTGTGCGTACTGCGGCCAGCTGTTCACGTCGTCGTCGCTGGGGCGGCATCTGGACCAGTATCTGTTCAAGAAGAAGCCCGACGGCGTGCACGACGTCGACGAGATCCGACGGCTGCGCAGCGGCATCACTCGGCGCACGGCGCGCAGCTCGACGACGACGACGACGACGACGACCACCGCAGCGGGCGGCAAGGCATCGGCGGCGACGGGCAGCCCCGAGCCCAGCAACGAGGCGCCGCTGGTGGTGCCGCCGCAGCAGCTCAACCCCAAGGGCGCGGGGCGAGGGTTCCGCGTGTTCCTCAACCAGCCCAGCTGGCAGGCCACGGGCGTCATCAACGACCTGCCCAACGCGCCGCCCGTGTCGCAGCTGCGGCTGCCCACACGCCCGCCCGCCCGCGCCGACACTGCTGCTGCTGCCGACGCCCCCGAGACCGCGCGCGCGCTGGAGCTGGCCCTGCGCGAGGTGCTGGCCGGCGTGCACGCCGCCGCGTAAGTGATGCCATGCCTCGACGGAGTATATGGCCCACGCTGACGAGACAATCGCCCTGCAGAGCCCGCACCGCCTCACGCTCCTCGCCCTTCGACTTCGACGTGCCCGCGCAGACCTTCCCCGCGCTGTGTCTGCATGCGCTGCCACCGCCGCCCAGCCTGTTCGCCACGCACCCGTTCGCTGCCGCCGACGCCTTCCCGCTCGACCCGCCGTCCGCCGCCCACCGTGACCCCGTGCTGCGCGCCCTCCGCGCCCGCATCCACCGCTGGCAGGCCGACCAGCACCGCGCCGCCACCCCGCCCGCCTCCTCCTCCGCCGCCTCCTCCTCCACCACCACCACCACCACCACCACCACGAGCAGCAGTGGGAATAACAATGCCGCCGCCGACGTGGCGCGCGCCGCTCAGGGCCACGAGGACCTGGTGCAGCACCACGTCGACCTCGCCCTGCGCCACTGGCTGGCCCGCCCGCCGCACGAGCAGCGCAGCCTGTGGCAGCTGGAGCTGACGCGCGCCTTCGCCCGCGAGCAGGACCAGCGACGGCAGCTCGAGCAGCAGCTGGCGCGCGCGCAGCAGGAGGCCCAGCAGCTACGCGCCCAGGTCAGCCAGCTGGCCTCGTGTCAGTGGCCGCGCGAGTTCGCGCTGTTCCCGCCTAACCTACTGCCGCTGGCCGCCGACGTGGCGCGCGAGCTGGACGACCGCGGCAGCGCGCTGAACGAGCCCGCCGCTGCGCGTTGGGACTTCGACGCCGTGCTCGCACGCTGGAAGCGCGTCGTCATGCACGACAAGACCATGGGCCGCTCCGGCGTCGGCGCCTACATGGACCCCATCGTCGAGCGCCAGCAGGCCGCCGCTGCCACCCACAACCTGCTGCAGCGCATCCCCACCGACCACCATAATAATAATAATAATAATAATGATGCCCATTCCGATCCTCATTCGCGTCGCCGCTCGCCGCCCGCTCGCAGCGCCCCCGTGTCGCCCGATTCCGGCCCCGCGTCCCACGATCTCCGCCCCGCCCTCCCGCCGCCGCCGCCGCCCGCGCCCTACGACACACGTGACCCCGCCGACTTCCGCCCCGCCAAGCGCGCGCGCACGGGACTGCCGTTCACGCACGCCAACGGCGACGCATCCCCGCCCGCCGCGCGCCTGCCGTTCCCCCCCCCCCCCCCCCCCCCCCCCCCCCCCCCCCCCCCCCCCCCCCCCCCCCCCCCCCCCCCCCCCCCCCCCCCCCCCCCCCCCCCCCCCCCCCCCCCCCCCCCCCCCCCCCCCCCCCCCCCCC